GACACAGTGTTTCTCATCATTGTTTCCCAAAGTTCTTTCTACCACTCCAGTGCTGGGGAAAGCACCCTCCTTTTACACATTTCCTCTCAGAGATTACAGACTTCTAAGAGGAGGAGATGCAGAAAAGAGTTGAATTTGTATCTTTTATGCCTATGTACTTCAAAGTGACTTAGCCCTTTGAATTGTATTCATTAGTTGGCTAGTAAAGGTAGATTGATTACATTAAGTGTGTTTAACTACTAGGAGTGTCAGGAAACAAGACAAATGGATGTATCCGTTTTCATTGTGTGGTGTACCCAAACATTTTTCTCGACAATATCATGCCAGAGTAACCGATCACTTTAGTCAAATTGAATAAAGAGCAAGGTGAACACAGGGGAAACTTATTCAGAGAAACAGACCTAGGACAGCAAAAAATTTACCTCAAAGGTAAGGCAGGCCTATAAATCCAAAGCCAAGTCTAAGAAAATCTAAATGGGAAAAAAATTCCATGTTCAGGTCCAATCGTGAGAGTTATTACAGTACAACTCAAGGAGTTAGCTACTTAGCTACTTCATGAATTTGTCAAAAGTGAGTACTACCAGCAAAGTAGGAGATTTCACCAAACTTAGGGGGTAGTTCAATAAGGTGTATGTTTTTCAGAGGGGGTGTGTTGCTTGACCCTAATAAGCTTATGGGTGTAAAGATGGTAATTACAATGTTTTATTTTGCTGTATTATTTAAGGTATATTTTAGGGACATTTTTCAGTGTATTAATATATTTAAATTCAGACTGTTGTATGGCATATTTTATAACTGTGTTAAAAACATTTTCCCATTTTGTTTGTTCTCTCTCTTACCTCATCAAACTACTTAAGATTTGATTCAACACACTCACGTTAAGTGAATGGCACTGGTTTTATTCTAAGTGTTATGTGGAAATAATGCTTTGAGGCCTTGATTCCTATATATTCATGATGCATAATAATGAGCTTGTTGCTTATCTCAGCAATAAAGAGTTTGACCCTAAATCAAGAAATTCTAAGGCGCAGTTATTAACAGCACGGCTACTCTTCACCACGTCTTGTGGCCACAGTGCCACGCTTCAGGGGCCTTCTGTCAGGCCTCGGTGGCAGGACTGCTCCAAAAGCACTCGCATACCACGCACGAGCCACACAGATGCCAAAGACCCTGTACATTGGCCCATGGCAGGGTGCTTGATTGCACCCTGCTGGTAATTATATCCTTTTGTTTGTCTCGTGGAGCAATGCATAGTTCATGCTAATCAGATTTCTAACTCATCTCTGTGGCCGCTCCCAAAAGGTCTAGGCTAATGATGGTGAATGAGAATGATAGGCAGAAGCAAAAGTCAGAGAGCAGGCAGTCCTTTGCCACTTCTGTCCCCCACAGTGATCTCTCTAAAGTCATTCGCACTCCTCAGGGTGCAGGGGAGGGACTGCACAAGGTAAAAAATATCACAATTAATCATAAATATAAGCTCTTCATCATTAGTCATAAGACAATAGGCAATAAGATAAATACGCTGTATATTTCCTTAACAGAAATTAATCACATCAAAGCATGCCAGTGGATTTATATGTTTACTTACAATTTACTTACACAGTTCTTAACTATTCTCATCTTCAATTCCCCTTACGTGTAGCAAATCAACTAGGTGTTTGCTAAGGAATATTCTTAAGTCTTTTCACATACACATTTTCAACATGGAGGGCAGAGGCAAATTCAAATGAATCTCAAAAAGAAGGTTACTTTCTCAGAACCAGTTTCCCTCATTTGTTCTCTCTCTAGTTATTCTTAGAAAACTTGATTCAAGAGCAAAATGTGAAGGCATATTAAGGGGGAAGTTAGCATGGATTGCCATTTATTAAGACTATTAATAATATTATTATTATTAAGACTAAAAATAAAGCAGTTAGCATCCACTTCCTGATAATCTAATATGGTACACTTCCTCTAGTTAATTATTTAAAGAACATTTGAGCACGTGTATTTATAGTCACACAGTATAGTCACCAATTTTGATTTACTATGTACTGAGCCACATGGACTTCATACCGCCATATCCATGGCCACATCCAAGGTCACTAAAAAGGACTTAGTGCACAACTGAGGATTTATTTTACTCTATGAAATGAAAGGACTAGATCTATATTTATTGGACACAAATATCCTCTTTAAAAATATACATTTAAAATCATTTATGTCCATTGTGGTTCACTAGTGCTATTTTTATTATTATTGCTTTTTCTCTCCCTTTAAGGGCTACCAGGAAATGTCTAAAAGCGGTGTGATATTTGGTATGATTTCTTATATTTCTTGTGATCTTTCCCCTATATTGGTTTATTTTAGGGTTATTCTACATCAGAGACACCATAATAGCTAAACATTAAATAATACAATCAGAGGTAATCTTCTGAAGTAGGGATTTACCTTAAGTTTATTTCCAGTTGCAAATAAATCAGATTTAACTAATGAAGTTTTAGAATGGCAATATTTGTTTAGTCAGCTTGAAATATAAAGTGTCTGTAAATAATCAAGTCAATCACATAACTGACAGAACTACTCCTTCATGCGCTCCTGCTAGATGGAGCTCAGTAATCCCAAACCATGCTGGTGAATTTATGTGCTCAGTCAGACTGGGAAATGACTTCCAAAGTCCTTAACCAACCTGTCAGATATTTGGGATGAAGAGCATATTGTAATGCTGCAGAAGCACTGACTAGAAATAAATCAGGAGTCACTTGCCCCTGAATAACATGCCTGTTTCTAACCAACTTTAATTATTTACACACTCCTCTCTCAGCAAGGGCTCTAGGTGACACTTCATCCAACTTTTAAAAAATATCTTGAAGAGGTTTTAGAGAGTTCTGTTTTGCCAGAGAAAGATATTTGGTCTAATTCAATATTTATCAACTTTCATGGAAAGGCTTTGCTGGACACTTGTCTTTGCAATTTCTCAGACAAGTATTTACTGCTTCATAAACTATTTCACTTAACTGAGTTTAAAATGTATTGTTCCCATCATCCAGTATGTGCTCGTTTTACATAATCTATTTTTAAGTTCAGAGAGTTGTTTCCAATATTGATTGCGGCACCTGCGGAGCTTGTTGTACAGCCTTTTATATATCAAGTTTGTAAAATATTTGAATGAACTGTTCTTTGAAATTTTATTATTTTTAATTTCCTTATGAATATTATATTGCATAACTGAGAAACATAATTATTTGGTTATCTAATTTCTCTTTTATTGAATTTAATTATGTCACTCCAGTTAAAAATAAAACCACCTTGGTGCAAAGACAAGGCAATTTCTCTGCATTTATTTGATTATATGTCACAGTACCTGACAAGGTTTGCCATTTCTATAAAGATCACTTTAAGTAGTTCACACAGGTATCTCTCTTCCCAGAAATTACCTATTCCACACGAAGGCAGAGCACCCTTCTCAGTGTGTGTGAATAGCACTGATCCATGGAACCATGGAATCTCTCTCCTCCAGCACAATCCGTGCTAGAAGCACAGCACTAGACGCTGAAAGCAGTTGGAAAGAATTTCCAGTACGGATTACACAATGACTGACTTGGCCAAACAAATAAGCCTAGAATTTTTAAAAGTGTAGAGCATACACGCAAGGGAAACAAATGATATCAAAAACCCTATTAGGGTTTACTCCCCGTTGACTGGAGAGAACTGGGTTCCATAAACTAACTGAAGAAATTAACTGTTTTGTGCACTATGCTGTGCCCTGGGACAAGTCACTTATATGCGCTATGACATGGGATGAATGCATTAAGTCTGATCGATAATTTATATAGATGTTGGTAAAACAGCAAGCCAATGTGATTACGTAAATAGTAATAAAGTGCATGAGTGACCGGGCAATGCCTAGCTTATTGATGAGAATACAGTGCTTTAGTTGAGCTGCCTTTATAAAATGTATAAGAAAAGGGGCGAAACGTAATTATTTTGCAGCAGTGAAATTCTCAATATGAGGGCACTAACAAGACGCTGCAATTTCTAACCTGGACACTGAGCAAGGCTAGCTGTAGAAGGTCCATCAAGACTCAGGCAGTCTGCAAGCATGTTTGTGCGTGCGCCTTTGCGCGCTTCTCCAAGGTTTGGGTCCGTAGCTTTCATTAGAATTTAAAAAAGGTCTGTGAAGCTCCCTGCCCTGCCCCCCCCCCCCCCCGCCCAGAGAATTTCTGTCACTGGGTAGTACCTTCCAGGGGAGGTAACGTTTTTTAATGTCTCTGTAGAGAAAAAGCACAAATGTAAACGTATACCTAGAGAAATACCAGCAATTTACAATTTTTAATGTATCTAAATAAGTTCAGTGACTTCTTTTAACTGAACATGTTTACAAGAAAACATGCAAGAGATTAAGAAACCATATTTATTTCTTCTTGGGTACAACGAGAGATGTTTCCTCAACCTTTAAAATAAATAATCTCATCAATAAATCTTATGCATGGCAGGATATTAAAATTCCTCCTTTACTTTCACATAGTAAGAGCTCAAACTGTAAGTAGGTTTGGGATACAGTACAATTCAACAAAACTCAGGCTGACCATGAACACCAGCATATGCTGGGAAATCCTTCCGCGTTGCACGGCGCTGTCTTGCCTCTCTGGGGAGAGCGCACTGCTGGGGACTCTAAGCACCAACTCTATTGACCGCAGTGGGGTTTCTTCATAACTAGTCTGTAATCCTCTGCATAGCCGAACAATAATCTGAGAACCTCTCAATAAAAATGAAAATAACTACTGCAACTGAGGTAAACCAAACAGTTGTTTTTGTTTATTGGCACAGTGGCCCGCAATATATCACCTATGTATAGCACACTAAAGTTTAAGATCCTGGGAACAGGATTATAAATTTTTTTAAAGGGAGCTTTTGTTCGTTTGTTTGTACCAATGAGTCTGCTGTCTCCCCTCCAAAGGAAAGGAAAGAGGATTTACGGAATAGCACCATTGTTCTAAATCAGATTGTCAAGTAGGACCGCTGCAATAATGTTGAAGGTAATACACTGTCATCACTTGCCCCAGCGTCGGTGGTAGGTCTCCTCCAGCTCCTGTGCCGGGTGGTTTAGGCAGCCAGCCACACAGCCCTAAGCTTTTCACGGATCTGGCCCTTTGCTAAAGGCTCGCTGGCCCGCTTGCACGGTGCAGGAGGCTGGCTCGCAGAAACCAGGAGGACCAGGAGGGCCCGGGGGGCCCGGCACCCCAGGAATTCCTGCCACCCCAGGAGGGCCTCGCTCGCCATCCCGGCCGTTCCTCCCATAGCTGGCAGCACCTGGATCACCTGAAACACACCAAAAATTGCAGTATGAGCAGAACACTCAAGGCTGCAAAATGGCAGAAGACACTACACCCTACAGACAGCACTGTGTGAACATAGGAGCTTTTGGAAATGATGGATGATGATGGTGATGATGATGATGACGACGACGATGAAGAAAATGATAAAATTCCTTCAGAGAACTTGGTTTTCTTAGAAATTAAAAGTGAAAAACCTTGGTGTCTCTAATCCACCTTTCCACCTGTAGAGGTGTGCTGTCTAATATGGTAGCCTCTAGCCACTTAGGTCTACTGGGCACTGAAATGTGGCAAAGTCAAAAGGAGATAAACTATAGGCATAAATCTCACCTGGACTATGAAGACTTAATATAAACAAATGTAAAACATTTCATTAAAAATGTTTGTATTTATTATATGATGATATGGTATTTTGAAGAGCATGGTTTAAATAAACTATATTAATAAAATTAATTACCCCTGATTCTTTTGACTTTCTTAATGTGGCTACTTGAAGATTTATTTTTTTTTTAATAATCCCAACAGCGTTTTTTAATTTTATTGAATTTATTGGGGCAACATTGGTTAATAAAATTATATAGGTTTCAAGTGTATAATTCTGTAATACATGATCTGTATATTGCACGGTGTTTACCACCTAAAGTCAAATCTCCTTCCGTCACCATATACTCGCCCCGCTTTATTCCTCACAATCCCCACCCCCCTTCCCTCTGGTAATCACCATAGTTTTGTCTATGTCTATGAGTTTTTGTTTCTTTCAGTTTTATATCCCACATACTTTTTCCATCTGACTTAATTACTAACGTTAAAAATTACACACACACACAAATGGCATTTGTGGCTCCGTTATATCTCTTTTGAACAGCACTTCAGTAGCAGCATCCCTTATTTCTAATAGGTGATCAATATCCGGACAGGGATAAGTATGTTCAGTGGTTAGAAGGGAGTTTGGAGACAGACAGAGGGCTCTCAGCCTAACGCTGCTGTTTATGGATAGGGTGACATTAGTAAGTCACTAATTTCTCACTTTCTTATGGGATAATGCCTTTCTTATAATTAAATTCTATGCCTGAAAGCATCTGATAAATGGGAACTATTATTATAATTATGAAGATATTATTGATTGATATCTCTAGAAGACTGTGCAATGTACTCTAAGTCTCAGTTCCTCCAGGATACATCTTCTTTTTACCATGTTCAAGGTTGTTTGGTTCCCCCAGTGAGGTACCCATAACAAAGAGGGATTTCTGCTGAACATTTCCCCCATCACACCAGCAGCGTTTTCATACTACTATTGCAAAGGTGGCAAGAAGGAACCAGTGTAAGACAACTTGTGTGGGTGAAGATTGTATAGTTCAGCAGAGACTCTCCTCCCATCTCAGCCATCCTAATTTGGCCATTCAGCCAGAAAGGCTAAAGCCAAATCTACATGTCAATGACTCATATACTTAGGTTGACTTTCCTTCCTTCTCAATGGTGGTTAATTTTCCTATTCTATTTTAGTGGTCATATTACATGTATCTCTTGCTGGTCTTATTATAGTGGTCTGGTCTTATTGCATGATCTTATTATACATACCTCATATACTTTTAGAAGCAAAGTAGGTTAGGGATCCTATTTTATATGACATCCTGTTCTCCCTAGAGGCTTACAAAGTAGATCCATATAAAACCATGTTATAGGACAAAACATTAATAATATGAGAATAATTATCTTTGACAATGTCCATCTCAAGGCAGTAGGTGAGTAGGGATTTAAATAGTTTCCCCTCATTTACTTCACAAGCTTCCATTTGACTGTATTAAGTTGTGATGAAGCCAGTGAGTGTGTTTTCTGTGAAAGATGAGGCCCCTGAGAAAGTTCCTCTCTCTCCCAGAGCACCCATGAGTACGGCTTTAGCAGCCAGTGCCTTTAGCAGAGCCTATTCAGATCTCCTCATGCTGAGAGCACCTAGATGTGATTTTTTTAAAAGTTAAGGGTATAGGCCAGACAAAAATGCATATAAAAGGTGATTTTCATGCACCTTATTGGTAGTAATACCAGGTCTACCCTAAGATCAACCACTATTAGGAGAAAATGCCCAAAGGAAAGGTTGCAAAACAAATGACCACAGGAACAAGGCCTGTATGCAGGTTGGGAGGGGCAAAAGGCAGCCCTAGGGCCAATTCCTCTCTTTGTAAATAATCTAATAGCAGCGCAGCCAGGGCCGTTAGTTTACACATTGTTTATCGGCTTTTGCACGACAATAGAGCTGAGTAGCTGAAACAGAAACCACAAGGTCTTAAAGCCAAACAGCATGTTCCTTTACACAACAAATTTTCTGACTCCCACGGTCATAAAGAAATGGCCCTGTGTTAAGAAACTCACCGTTGTCTTTACTGGAAGAAAACCGACAGTACAAGTCTAATGACAATTGGAGTGGTGATGAGACTCCACCTCAGCTCTGGGGGCAGTGGGAGGAGCGAGCCCACAGAGGACCGGGATGGGGATGCGCTGGCTCTGGCCGGCTAGCAGCTGCCAGGAGGGGGCCTGGGCCGGTGCTGCCCGAGCCTCTGGTAACTTTCAAAAGAAGCTAGGAAGCTGAGTTTTTAAAGAATTATCTGTCAATTTAAAATGTGAGCAATTAACTCAAATTTTTATTTAACATTTCTAGAGCCAGCCTCCTGCTTAAAACCTTCAAATAAGGAAATTAATTCTCTAATACACAGGCTATTAAAAAGCAGAAGGAAAGCTTTCATGTTTAACTCCCCATTTCAGCTCATTTCAGATTCCTGCTTATCCTTTGAGGAAGGGGTTGACAAAGCCATCCTGTCTAATCTTGATTTATCTTACAAAATGCTTACCCAGCCCAATTCACGCTCTGGCAAAGAGAGCAATTTACCCCTTAGAACGTTGGGTGATGAGTCATCATCCTCATCATCATCACCAGCACATAAAGCACTGTCCCCTTACCCTTCGCCATTCACTGTGCTCATTAGTGACCCATTTCGTCACGTGCAACCTGACAGTGACGAAGGTTAAACAACTGTCCATAGCTCATATAGCTAGAGTTAGAAGGGGCTGGAGTTAGGAACAAGGGCCCTTCGCCACTACCCTGGCCTGTGTTTCCACACCTCTTGGTTTGGTAACTCTGCTGAAGTGGCGGGGGAGGGCGTGTGTGGGGGGGGGAGGGTGTGTGTGTGTGTGTGGTGTTTTTTCCTTAATTCATTGGGCCTGAAAGTAGAAAGAGGCACCATAGCTAGGAGTCAGTATTAATTCTTCAGACCTCTGCTTATCATAACTAAGGGTATTTTTCTGAGATTTTGCCCTGTAGAAATGGCCGGGGTTGGGGGGTGGAGGGCAGGGAAACAGCCTCCACAGAACAGATTGCCGGTTTCTGGTGAGCCCTGACGCTGGGCATTTACTCTCAGAGGTGCTCTACAGTTACTGTGGGAGAACCTAATTCAGGAGCAAAGCCATGTCACAGTCCAAGTCATTCAAGAAATCCAGCGGCTGTATCAACAAATCTTTATATGCTACTCTTCAAGCCTGAAGGAGAAAGTACAAATCTGAAGTGTGCTCACTCTGCTTTGCTTGCCTGACGTGTGTGTCACCTACACCAACTGCCTACTGACTACAGAGCGTTCTGAAATGTCAAGGACCTACAGGGTCTGGCACAAATAACACCGCTTTTTTATTACAAAATCATAAGCCATGTAATTCTATACCATAACAATATTACACTCAAGCACACAATATGACATTTTTGGTGGAATTTTCTAATTAAAACTATAAATTATTACACCCATATTATTACTCTACCAACCACAGTCAAGTAGGAGTTACTTCTGCCGGACCCAGTATAAAAATGGCCAAAACATTCAGGATTTTTAAAACTGAATGTGTATGTCATTATCTGTGCAAACACCAGAGGGCAGTCAAGTTACATCGGTGGAGGCCAAACCCCGCCAGAACGTTCTGAAGGATCTAATACGAACTAAAGAATGAAAGAGACAGTTTGAAGACTTTAACAGAAATAGAAAAAAGGAGAAAAATCCTGAAAATAATTTTACATATTACGTAGGGTATTTGATATTAATCCACTGGTTATGTGAAATTTTTGTGCATGCCAGGAACGTTCTTATATTTTTCACCTCATGCTGAGCTTACGAGGATGCTGAGCATGCTGAGCAAACATATGTGTTAGACAAAGCACATATGTTTCAGAAATTGGTGTAAAGTGGTTTGTTTACATAAGATCATCACAACTAAATAAAGTAGCTGCAGCAATGGAAATAGGATGAATAGCCACTGCCAAGCTTACAGATAAACTGAGTGTGCCCTTTGTTCTGGGTGGTTTTTCTACTCAATAGTCACAATCAAGCTCACCTATATGCACATTCTGCACGGGCGTCCTGAATAGCCCATTCACCTGGCGGACCAGCACAGAGCCGGCTCTCCCTCCCCGTCCAGGAAGGAAAAAGCGCCTCTGCTCCCAAGTCACAATCCTGCCACATATACACGATTCCTCATTTAACTCCTTTCTCTCATGAGTTTGAATGCACACGAAGGAGGTCAAGACCCATTATTAAATATTTTTCTTTAAAATCCTCAGAGTGCCAAGGAACTCATCACAAAGTTCAGTGTCATCAGGCATAGACAGTTACTCTTCATGAGATGACCCAATCAAGTAATACCACTATCGGCCTCGGTAAGGGCACCGGAGGTGGGGCCAGAGGCTGAGGAGGCTCTAAAGTCCCACGGGTCTCTAATGTGATCCACAGGCACTATGAAAGAGGCAGAAAGGGAATTAAGACACTTGGTGGTTAGGGGACAGCCAGGCCATGATTTTGTCTATATAATGAAACTGGATGTGGAAAGCATAAATATCTGCCTTTATCACTTATTACTTGAGAGAACTTTGTCAGGACAGGTGACCTTTGTAACAATCTATTTCCTCAAATATGAAAAGAGAAATAACAATAATAAAAACAGCTAAATTTGCAGAATGTTTGCCATATGCCAGGCATTATTATAAGTGCTTTATATGTATTAACATATACATAGATCCTCCTAACTAACTCCCTAAGGTAGATGCAGTTGTCATTTCCATTCTGCAGAGGAGAACCTGAAGCACTAAGAGGAAGAGTAGCTGAAAATAAGAGGGAACAATGCACACGTCCAGGCAGGCTAGTTCCAGAGCCCAGACTTCTTACATCTCCGCCCTGTCTACTCCTGACTGTGAGGAGAAACAAACTAGATGGTATATCTGTGCTTTTCAAACAACAGCACTACAGCCAAAAGAGAGCTGATGTAATAATACTCTAGGGTCCATGCTAGGCAATTGTAGGAACACAACCCCAGAGGGCCTTGTAACACCTAACCCGGAACAAAGTGACAGATGTGAAGGGGAGAAGAGAACTAAAACTGTCCAGAAAGAATAAAGGAATCCTGATAACTGATAGATAATGAAGGTCTTGGTTACATTTTTTCAAATGTATCAGATATGTCAGCAAAAAGAATGATCAAATGATCTTTATTCCATTCAGAAGGATTTGAGTCCCAAAGCCAACGGATGAGACAACAGAGGAAGTTGTACAATACCTTGTTCCGCAGGCTTGTTTCCTTTAGGTAAGATAGTATTTATCTAGAAGGTTCCAGAGAGTTCCTGCATAAACATTGAAGGTTCCCCTGGGTCCTAAAGTCCTATTACAATTATGTTTGTGACAGACCGAAAGTCACATTCCTAATCACATTCCAAGCTCCACCAGGAAAATTTAAAATGGCCCAGCCTCTCAGTAGTCAATTAATTAGTTAAATAATTCACTGCCAGTCACTACTTTGTATTCATGATTTGGAGTTGGAGGTTTGGGGGGAGGGCAATTCTGAGCCGTCAGGGGTGGAGCTGACTGAGAGAAGAGCAGCTGATTGCTGCTAATCCAGCACAGGAGCAAAAGGCTGAGGGGGCTTGACTAGGGTCCAGCTGTGCCCAGCTCTCCTTCATCTGCCTCCAAAAGCAAAAGTGGATTTCTCATATTAACGGTAGTAATAATAACCAACATTTCTTGAGCACTTACTATGGCCAGAAACTATCCTAATCACTTTACAGGGATGGATTACTCAGAATTATGCTATCACAAATACACTATCTTATAAATGGAGAAAATGGGGCACAGTGCAATTAAGTAACTTGCCCAATGTCATTAAGTTAGTGACAGAGGCAAGATTTGAACCCAGGATGCCTGACTTGTGGCGCCCACACTCAGCATTCTAGCTCTAGAAGAAGATTGACACAAAATACCCCATTTGGGACCATAATGGCTTCGGGAATTAGCAGTGTGCATATTTATGCACAGACAAGAGAATGTGAGCTGACCTAAAATCCAAAGCCCTGGGCCTGGGCTTCAGAGTGTGATAAATATAGCCCCTTTGTGTGTGTGCTTTTGAAAGCTAGAAAACTGCATGCTTTTGAAAGTTAGCTTTAATTTTTTTTTAATGTCAAATATCCTTTCAATGAAAATGTAACAAAAGCACAAGGGAAAAGAAACAAAGGGCCAGATTTCAGAGTGGTACTATGAAGGGAGGGGCAAGGACTGGCAAAGGCAGAAAGGAGAGGGACAGGTCTTGGGAGTCCTGAAAAAGGGAGCCCGTAACTTTTTTTTTAACCAATCAAATTTAAATATTAAATCCAAGACCAGCTGTAACAAATTTAATTTTTTTCATAAAGGAAACAAGATGGCAACCAGGTAGAGCTGTCAATGATGAGCTTGTACCACCTTACATTTTGCCCTGCATGGATGTTTTATGTACCAAAATGCAAATCAGCAGAGCCCAGTTTTGGCAGAGCAATGGCCCAGGAGCTTGTAAATCCCCTACCAATCAGACTCAGGGACTCCAGTGGGTTACTGCGGGTGGGGAATCATGCCGCCCCTAGTGGCAGCCTGAGACACTACACATACAGAGTTAGTCTTCCTCAGTGTCTTCCCATTTTTAAAATGTTGTTTATCAACAGACTTTTTGAAAGAGTCACCAGAAACGATAACATATTTTTGTTAGAGGGAAATCTTGCCAACAGTGCAAGTCGCTTGTCCAAGAACTGATAGGTGATTTGTCAACAAAATGGGAGGGGAAATTATAAGGTTATCCTTCCTTTATGTTCAATATATAAATAAGTAAATTGTAATGATGGTATTTTATCAGCTTTAAAACCTCTAGTTGCTACCATTGATAAAGGAAAAAAGCACTCAGTAAGTTCTATTTCCATTCTTTTTCTCTAAACATCTATCAAAGAATCTTCTCTTTGTCCTACTTAGTGCCAACCAGATTCTTTCTTTTTCCAGTCATAAAAATGTATCAATTTGTGAAAACCTCTTAACAGACCCACAGTTTAGAAAGGCAGTGTTGGAGCTATCTCCAAACATGTTCATATTTTTTAAATGTATTTCAATGAGAACGGAATCCCCAGGAGCAATGAAATGTATAATTAGAAAGCAACGATGTTTGGGGCTGTAATTATAGCCATGATTGAATATGTAAGCCTGTGGCAGAATTAAAAAATGATTATTACTTTTTCTAAATTTCCCTAAAACAAATTTTTCAATCCATTGTGGAAGCATGTGCCACCCTTTTCCTGCACATCTCCTTTTGCCTGGACTCTCCTCAGCTCCAGAGGTTTGGGAGCCTTCCTGGGCAGCGATAGAGAAGGTTGCAGCAAGACAGCACGTCATTCACGCTCTTAAACCAACTGGCTTTGGATCCTGCTGTGCTGTTTCTCTGGCTGGGTTTGTAGGTTATTTCCCAGTAGATGAATGTGTTTCAGCCCGGTCTCTGGGGGAAAGGGTAACCAATGTGTAAAGGGAGAACAGATGCCCAGTGAGAGAATCCGGGCTCTCACACGGAGCCTGCTATGTCGCCTCAGTTGACACAGCCGTGATGTGTGGCTTGTCTGTGGCTCTTTGTGTCAATGAGTAGGAATGTTCAGGTTTATTTACTTATTTGGATATGAGTTTTTGGAGGGTCAAGATGTTTGAAACAGGAGCTTTTAAACTAAAATTTCAGTTACTCTCTATGCAACATGAATAGTTTGCAAATTTGGATGAATTTTTCTATTGCTCTGACTTTTTAGTTAAATTAAAAAAAAAAAAGACAGGAAACTATCAACTGGCCTTGAAGTGGAGAGGTCCCCATTCCTTCAGAATTTCATACCAAGCACATGTGGCTAGACCATCAATTTTATATAGCATCTATTTAAATAATTAATATTTCAAGTCCTGACATATTTTCTCACAAAGAATGCAGATATGATTTAGAGAACATTTAACTCTTCCTTAAAGTTGGTCTGGAAGAACTGATGCCAGTCATTCTGGAGTATCTCTTGCTATACTCAAATGATTGAAGTGCAATCCTTTAAAATATTGTCCTCTTCAAACTACCCATTCACTACTAATCACTCAGCCTCATCCTGCCATGCAACTCTCTTACCTGGGAGACCTGTAGCTCCGGGCAAACCCTTGGGACCCCTTCCTGGAGGGCCACGTTCTCCCTTTTCTCCCAAGTCACCTGCATTTGATTAGAGAAAGGTTATATTTTTCTATATATCTATAAATATAAAGTCCTGTAATCCTAAACTTCAAGCAAAGCCCAAATTCTGAAACCAAAGGGTCATAAAATTGTCACAAACTAGACTGTGGCCAGGTAAAAATCAAGTTAATTGTAATAATAGATCTAAGGGAGAAAATCGAATAATCGTATTCATGGATGCTGAAAAGACATTGAAAAAATTGAACACATTCCTGAAGCAATAGTCAATGAAATAAAAATCAATGGCTACCTCCTTAACATGAAAACACATACTCTCTCCACCTGAAAGCTAGCATGATGCTTAACTGGAAACACAATAAGCAGTTCCACTACAGTCATTATAAAGATGCCCATTTTATCATTATTATTTATCATTTGGTTTGAGGAGTTAAAACCATCTGTTTTCAAGTGATATGAGTATATATCTAAAACACTAAAAAATCAATTCAAAATGCTATAAACAATAAGATACTCCAATAAAGTAGCAAGATACAAAATGAATATACAGAAATCAATGATTTTCATATATACAAACAACCAGTAATGGGTAGTAAAAAATGATACCACTTATAATAGCAATTAAAATAGTAAATACAAGGAATAAGTTTAATCAGAAATATGCATATCCAACATGAAAAAAACTAAACATTTCTAAAAGATACAAAAAGACCAGAAAAATGTCCTCCTACACAATGACATCATCATAAAAAGCTGTCAGTTCTCCCTAAGCTTAATTTTCATCATGATCCCAATAAAAATATAGATTTTTTTAACCAGAAAGGTGATTCTGAAGTTTGTGTAGGAAAACACAGCCCTGGTGGGGTAGCTCAGTTGGTTAGAGCATCATTCCGATGTGCCAAGGTTGCAGGTTCTATTCCTCATCAGGGACCATATATTATGCAACCAATGAACGCATAATAAGTGGAACCACAAATCAATATTTCTTTCTCATTCTCTCTCCCTTCCTCTCCCTCTAAAATCAAGACATAAGAAAAAGAAAAGACATAAACTAGAATAGCCATAAGAACTCAAAAAAGAAAAGCAACTTGAAGGGAATTAAACCTACCAAATATTCAACCATTAAAACATTATGGAACTGGTACATGAGTAGACAAACCAGTAAAACAGAATAGAAAGTCTAAAAAGAGGCCCGAATACATATAGGAATTTGGTTTGTAATTAAAGTGGCATCTTAAAGTGGGAAAAAGTTAAATAATTCAATAAATTGTATTGCAAAAGTGAGTAGCCTACTTGAAACAAAAAATGTTAGGTTTATTCCTCACACCACAATCCAGGATAAATTGCAAATGTATCAAATATTTTAAATGTAATTTAAGAACCAGAAGAAAACAAGGGAGAATTATTTTAAAACCTCAGATTCAAGCTGGCCTTTCTATTATGATATGAAGAGTTATAACTCTAATATGAGGAGTTCCTGAAATCAATACTAAAAGGCCAACAACACAATAAAAAATAAGTGGAATACATGAGCAGGAAAGTCAGTGAAAGAAAATAAAAAATGGCTCTTAACTAAATTAAAAAATTCCCTGACTTCACTCTCATAACAGAATTTATGTAAACTTAGAATAACAAGGATGCTATTTTAACACATATGATCAGCAAAAATTCCAAAGTTTAATGAAGCATATGTTAGCAAATCTGTGGGAAAATGCACCATTAACACACTGCTGATAAGAGAATAAATCGGTAGAGTCTCTTGGAGGGTAATTTGGCAATAGCTATCAAAATTAAAAATGGAAGTCCTGGCTGGTGTGGCTCAGTGGACTGAGCACCAGCCTGTGAACCAAAGGGTTGCCAGTTTGATTCCCAGTCAGGGCACATGCCTGGGTTGCAGGCCAGGTCCCCCGTGAGGGGGGCACGTGAGGCAACCACACAGTGATGTTTCTCTCCTTCTCTTTCTCCCTCCCTTCACCTCTCTCTAAAAATAAATAATTAAAATCTTTTAAAAAATTACAAATGGAAGTACCATTTTACTCAGTAATTCCACTTCTAGGAATTTACCATAAGATATAAAGCTTATGTTGATATTTGCACAAAAATGAAGCACATGCAGTGGTGTTCATTGCAGCCTTATTTAAATAGCAGATTGAAAATAATCTAAACGTTTATTAAAAGGTTAAATACACTATGGAGCTTCCATAGAATGGAATACTATGCAGCTGTGAAGAAGAATGAAGAAGCTCTTTGAAATGATCTCCAAGACATTGTTAAATGAAAAACACAAGGTCCAGATCACTTACTATGGGACAATATGATTTGTTTTTTAAAGAATCCAGGAAAAATATGCTGTGTTCATTGATCCTTGCAAATCACCATTAGTAAGGATGTGTAAGAAATTAGCAATAATGGTGACCTAATGGGAAGAATAAAGGAAACTCAGCAAATGGGAGACACAGGTGGTAGAGAAACTCTTTACTGAATATCTTTTTATATGTTTTAAAGTCTTGAATAATGTAAATTTAGTATTACCAAAAATAAATTAATGAATTTCTAAAATTTAAAGTGTGCTCTCAGAAGTGTCTACATTTTACTGTGGACTCATTATTTACAGCGAATATGCTTTTGGTTGCAACCAACCATGCGTATTTGCAGGACATTTGATTAAATTTAGGGCATCAGCCGCCACTGAACAAAACGGCATTAATTATCCTGGCCCCCGCAGAGGCTGAACCCAGAAACTTGGCCTCATTAACCAAGCGCTCTAATACCTTAGCTAACTGGTCCTGAGTGACTTCTCCTGCTCCCAGTACAAGGCATTACTCCACTATCTCATTAATATAGTATTATATTATTTTCTACACTTTTAGAAAATGCAATCGTATTTTGTAACAAATTCCATGCAAAATCATCTTTCCCATATATCTGTATCAGCCCAACCTCATTCAATACTGAGTCTTTGTTATAATTTAAAAAGCAAAGACACGTCCATGGCAAAAATAGGAAGGGTATCTGTACAACCATTGATACAGCAAAGAGTTCTCATACTTAGATTTTAACTGTGAATGTCCTTGTGTGAATATTTATGGCGAATCAGTTACATCTCAAAACAATTCAAATTTATATAAATACCACGTAAGGTATTTATAGAGCTCAGGATGAACTCACGTTCGCATAAGCTAGTTTTTTTCACGCTCATCATCAACATAACCTTATTGTATTAGGAAGATATGACAACTGGCATTTTTAAAACTAACAGCTGAAGCATTCTTGTTAACTTGGCAATTTTAATGTCATATCACTGAATTCTAGAGACTGGCAACGAGAAGAGAATCTTTAAATGTGCCATATTTCTTATACATATGAGATGAAGACTATAAATTAAAATGCAGCTTTCACACAGATAGTGGAAGTTAAACACATTCCAGCGTGAAACCATGACAACTCTAAAATGTTGCTTGCTGGAGAGAAGACTGTTATCTTAGTTCTGATGCTGTATTTTGGTATTGGTCATAGAAAAATAAATTTCGGGTGAATCCGAAACCGCTTGCCCTGCAGACTGCTGCTCCACAGCCTGGTTCTGTTTGTCACCAGGGTTAATCTGCTTCTCAGCCCCTGATCATGCCTTCTTTTGAGATGTTTGACAAGTGGCTCAAAGAGCTAAAGGGCCACCTTTGTTAGCCTACTGTGTCAGAAAATACATATAAAGAACTTACAGAATCAGCTTAGATGAGGTATGAAGGAAAATATGCAGTTTTTAATAAATGAGCCCTAATTGGGGCCTCTTATAAGCCTGGCACAATTTCAAAGCTTTCAGAGGCTGACAAAATTAAATACAGAGAGAGAGCGCACTCAGAGTTCATCTTACAGAGAACTGGAGAAAAATTTTCTCTGAGAAAATCACATAGACATTCACCTTTGTCCTGCTTTCAGCTATTAGTTTAGGAACTTATGCCGTAGATGATTTCTCATGATGAAAAGAATGGCTAAAACTAAATGAATTCTCATCACTGCATGGTTTCTATTTATTTCATTTATTTGCAAGTTATAATTGATGGTCCATTTTCCCAGGAGCAGCTTAATGTTTTAAAAAGTGTTAGTCACAGTTACGATTGTACTTTCTCAAGCCTTCTCTGACATATTGGCATGTCTGTCTGACTCACACTGAAATATCTGAAAAAATATACAGCTTTACTCATAAGAACCTAAATTTAATCTATACCATAAACATTTAAAAATAGTATTTATAACATGAAAGACTGACTCAAAACTAGGAAAGTGAACATAGGCCAGACAGATGTCTCTCACTTCTGCTTGAATAAAGACACAAAACCCGCAAAGTGCGTGGGCCGTGGCCCTAACGTGTTTGTGGAATGTTGCATAAAACATGTTGATGAAAAACAAAAACATATATAAATGACTTAAGTTTTAAGTATGATTTGAGGCCTATTTCTATTAGCTACTACTAAAAATGTCCCACTGTGTTTTTCAGAGTAATTTTAAAGGAGAAGAAGAGTGATTTCATTAAAACACAGCCAAAAGTGTTAAAAGCTTGAGCAAAACTACCCTAGGTGGTGTGGCTCAGTGAATTGAGCACTGGCCTGTGAACCAAAGGGTCTCCAGTTGGATTCCCAGCTAAGGCACAGGCCTAGGAATCCAGGGTTGCAGGCCAGGTGCCCAGTAGGGGGCGTGTGAGAGGCAACCACACATTGATGTTTGTCTCACTTTCTTTTTTCCTCTCTTCCCCTCTCTCTCTAAAAATAAATAAATAAATAACTTTTTTAAAAGGCTTTAGTGAAACTTATTTCTTTGTTATTTAGGTGACAATTTCTCTTGAAAAAGAGTCTCAAAGTGACTTGCACCATCCATTCTTTAGCCATGGGAAAAAGCCAAGATGACAATGAAATACATCTCTTCTCTAATGGGTCAAACATTTATGTCTTGAATGGTGAAGCATTTATGCTCAGGGGAAACTCGATCTGTAACCAATGGATAGTAAAAGACCATGTTTTCTGTTAAATGCTATTGTTACTGTATGTGGTGGGACAAGAAAGGTCAAATCCAGTTACCCAGACATTTCCAAACATTTCCAAATGCGTGTCAGCACTGATGGATAAAGAAAATCTGCTTACTTTTTTCTGCACATACCCCAGATTTTTTTAAAAATGAAAAAAGATGCTGCTTAAAGGAATCCAGTGAGAAAAAAGGGGGTAAATGGAGCTGGTGAGAGAAAGTCTTTAAAAAGAAGAAGAAGAAAAGGACTGTATTACTTCTGGATTATAGACTATGCCATAAATACTGAAGGAAAATTAGGGGGAAATCCTTTATATAATCAAGCTATGCCTGATGAATGGACTTAGTGATGGAGACATTTTCCAGGTTTCAGATACAGAAATATACTTTCTTGCCTTCAATTTTAGGTTTACCTGCTAGGGTCAAGCCAGCCCAACACAGCCACAATTCAGAGCTGCTCAGAAAGCTTCGCCAACATTTAATCTTTGTTTCCAGTGGTTCTCCGCCCTGCTTGCACATTAAAATCACCGGGGGTATATTTTTAAATCCTGATGTCCAGACCAATTAAATCAGAATCTCTGGGAATGGGGCCCAGACATGAGTCATTCTTAAAGCTCCTCAGGTGTTTTCAGTGTGCAGCCCAGGCTGGGAAACACAGCTTTAAGCAGACCCTCCTAACAGACCAAGTCAATGGACATTTTCACTTCTTAAAGGAATAAGATGGGATTTCAGGAGAGCCCTGTTACTAATGAACAGAGTTAAGCTCTATCCAGATACGGAGACTTCCTTTCAGCCAAGACAATAGGTCTGTGATTTCTACAGTGCCGTGATTTCTATAGTCCCTACAAGGTGTCCCATTTCTATAGGAAAATGGAACAAGTGTCTTTAGCTGCATCGGAATCATGTGGCCTGTGTCAGAACACAGACTGCTGGGCACCTCTTCTGGAGGTTCCGATGGGTGGGTCTGGGGTGGGCTGGAGAGTCTTTATTCTTAACAAGATCCCTGGTGGCGCTGATGCTCCAGCAGCCCCTGGTTAAGACCCACCGCTCCAAAGTGAGCTTCTGATAGCTAAGGAAACATCCCAGGCTCTGGCACTACAGGGCCAACGAAGTCAACAATCGCCCAAGGCAGTGGGGTTCTTAGAAATGGTTTACAGAGTGAATGGAAACTGGTCTTAGGAAAAGCACCTACGGCAGGAGTACCTAAACTAATAGCTGAAAGCAGGACAAAGGTGAATGTCTATGTGATTTTCTCAGAGAAAATTTTTTTCGAGCTCTTTTTAAGATGAACTCTGAGATATCTCTGTATTTAATTTTGTCCAGCCTCTGAAAGCTTTGAAATTGCGTCAGGCTTACAAGAGGCCCCAATTAGGGTTCTTTTATTAACATGCACAGGCCCCGAAAAATGTAATTAATGAAATTATTTCAGCTGAGGGTATAGTTAACCAAATGCATCAGCAATTCATTTATAGATCCAAAAAGGCCACTTGCTTGCCCTCTGACCATTCATACCATAATATTTAATCCTAACTGGAGCAGCACAATTTTAAAAATGAAAGTCCTCCTCTTGTTTTCGATGGCACACCTTTCTAAAGTTCCCCAGGGAGCTGTCAGTCACCCATCAGGGTATAGAAAATCCTCACTTTATTTAGCCCTCCCTGTAAATTATCCAGGGCACCCACACCCCGAGCTGACATACTTACCTCACTCAACTAGCAAGTGGCATCTGAGGCAACCAGGCCTTCTGCAAGTCCTGTTTAATACCTAACACGCAGCCCTATTTTTCTGAAAGATACTGGATGCAAGCATTTAACATGCTTTCAGTAAAAGGGGAAGAGACAAATTCTCTCATACTCCCTCACATGTTAAAGAAGGAATAAGGTTAGGTTGTACTCCAGAGCTGAAAAAGAAATCCATCAAAACCAAATATCCAATGTCACTTTTTAGAAGGAGGGAAAGGTAGCTTCAATTCAAGATGTCATTTTTCTCATCTCTTGCTAACAAATTTTGTTAGTTGGAGTAACAGATGCAAATAGTCTAAAGCTGGTTGTCATCTTAAAAGACCTCTACCATAATTTTAGATTATGAAAAAAAAACACTGCTGAATAAACCTTTATTAGGTCCTGTAATTTTTTTTTGAACTATGATTGAGGCACAGTATAACTGAAAAAGATGGGTGCTAAAAATCAAAGGACCTGAATGCCAGTATTTAGTCTACTGTTATCATATAGCAAGGTCAAGAGAATACCATATACCAGCTCTCTAATCTTTACCATCTCCATGGCAAAAGAGAAAAATACATCTTATCTCACAGAGGATCTAGAGCTTGGTCAGACATGTGATAAATCTGAGAAAGGACAGTGTGTGCTCCTTGGTTCCACCTGGGCAAAAGGCTTACCTTTAGGCCCCCTCAAACCAAGAGCACCAGGGGGACCCTTAATGCCTGGGAGGCCACGAAGTCCCATCTGGCCAGGGAAGCCATTCTCTCCAGGGGGCCCAGGGGCACCAGGGGGTCCAGGCCTCCCAGGGAGGCCGGAAGCTCCCGAGTCTGGACGCTTGAGACTAGCAGCCATCTCAGCAAGATGCTCTAAAAGATAATAAACAAAACAGCCCAGAAAAGTCAGACACATGGAAGTGATACAAATGAAAAGAGAAGTATTATGAGTGCCTTTTCAAAAATGTGTCACCAGAACTTCAATATTGGTGGTGAGAAATGAATAAAGTCAGGTCATTTTTCCATGGACTCTCGGCCAGAAAGCCTCACTGGGGCTGTTTGATTCAGGTCTCCCTGCATAGATCCGGTCCTGCTTTTTTGAGACCAGGGACAAAGGGACGAGGATAAAAACCTTAAACTGCAGGGCTGTCGGGGGAGAGGTGTTTCAAAGGAATGAGCGTGTTGCCTGAATCCTGACCTCTTCTCTGAGAACCTACTATGGGAAGAAAATTAGTTTCTTAAAGTAGGTAGATGTGGATGACCAGGGGCTTTTTAAAAGCCAAGGACATTGTGCAAAATTAGTACTGAGACACCATCTGAGAGACACCTAGCCTCGCATTTTCAGTTTGAAGATATTAACTTGACGTATTCCGAGAATTCGTGACTTCTTATGAATTCTTCTTTTCAGAAGTTTTTTCATGCTTGGAATAGACAATAAACATTAAAAATAGCCTTGGGAATGGCCACAGTCTGTCTTAAAAATTAATAACTGTATGGGCTTTTTCATAATTCATTAAATAGGTTAACAATCATCCACTAAGGCTATGGAGAACAAGACAGTGTTCCCATTAAAATACGCTAAGGAAAATACTCTAATGTGATATATTTTAAAGCTCTAGGGTGTGATGGAGAATTTGAATTGAAAACACATTTCTAAACAACATTTTTAAATTGTTTCAATGTGAGTATTCTAAGTTTGCCCTACATAAGTAAGAGTTAGCATAAAATCACAATTCTCTAGATATGTGATGCTCAAAATTGAAATATCCTTTCAAGATAAAATGTCTGCAATGAAGAAACTTGGTTTTCAAATACAGAGGGACAGCTGCACTCTGGAAAACTCTACCAGTCTACGAGACAAAGTAGACCATCACATGAGCATACAAAGAAGAGTATGTATTTCTGCCAGAAGTGGTTCCAACCAGAATAAAATAATTATTTGTCAGAAGGCCCAGGGGTTCCAGGGTCTCCTCCATTGTAGGAGGATTTGCACATCTCCATTTTCCGTGTGGTTTCAGAACTAGACCAATTTTGAAACAGCTGTGACAAACAGCAACGGCCATGTCTACAGATAAATTTAGATAAAGGTTAACAAATGTGAACATGTATCACCATTTTGGTAAAACAGTAGTTACTGATTTTTGATGAAGGCGGTTTGGTACATGAGTAGCCATAGTGGTCTAATGCTTCTTACGAGTCTGGCAATTACTTCTCATATCATCTACGGAGAGAGGCTCTGTCAGTGCTGGGTGCTAAGTGGTGGGGCACTGAGGAAGGGAAAGACGCTTGAGAATTTGAGAATTGTTTCAAAGGAAAAAATGTGTGTGCATGCATGCTTTCTTGCACATTAACACCCTTAGGGGAAAAAAAAGGCTAATCCAGAAAGGTAATACTTTTCTTTTTCTTTGAGGCTATAAACTATTGTGATGGCAACAAACTGGATAAAACAGAATTGACATTAGTATTATTCAAAATCTCCCCCCTTTAAAGCATACCAAAAAGAAAAAAGATCAATCCACTCCGTTATTTACCTTGCACAACCCTCATGCAAACCTGCTTAATGTGCTGATCTGTTGGTGCTCTACCCTGGGGCAGAAAAGAAAAAAGGCAGTTTGTACACGGAACCATAAACAACACATCGTTAAATGGTAAACTGACAGACTTGGCAGGGAGCCAGGTGGCTGGGCTTACAACTGGACAATTTGCCCACGCTGCTCAGGAGCGGATGTCTGGCCTAGCCAGCCTGCCCCAGCCCCTCGTGCTGTGAGACAGAATCTCCCCAGAGAAACCACAGAGACGGCCCACCACTCACCGGAGGGCCCTGGATACCAGGCAGGCCGGTGGCACCCTGTTCTCCCTGCACGCCTCGGGGTCCAGGCGGTCCTTTTGTGCCTTCCACTCCCGGGAGCCCCCGACCTCCTTCAGGTCCCCTCAAGCCAGGCTCCCCAAGGTTACCTGCCTGCAACAACGTGGCACACTATGAAACCAAGACTAAACCCAAATAATGTGTCTGCTTAATACTGATACAATATTAATACACAAAATTTGAGGTTTACTACATTCTGTTTGTTCAGAGGATACATATCCTCCACCTAAGGACAGAAAATGCCACAATTCATTAGTCTCTTAGAATTCCAGTTCAAATAAACTTCTAAAGAATCTTTCTCTTTTGTATAGTTATTATTTCAAAATGTTAGTTGAAATAGTACATTTTTAAAAACACATTCTTCATACTTTAAGCCTCTTCCTAAGAGCAAGTTAGTTTTCAAAAGGTTTGTCTACTTTTTATGGCCGCACAAAGGCCATGAAATTCTTACAAGACTGTTATTTTGTATATCACCAGTACAGAAGGTATAAAATAAAGATATTTCCAAGAAAATAAGATATATAAGCTTTTATAACATTCTCTGGAGAATTTGAAGAGGCCAGATCTATCCGGAAATCATAAAATACTAACATGAACTAAATCAGTACATTTAACACACCACAATATTGAAAATGTTGCACTTAAAATCAATGCATTTGAAATACTAAAAAGAGTAAGTCTACAAGTTATCTAGGTATTGAAAAAGTTAAAAATCCAAATATTAAAGAAGTTAGGAATAAACTATTTTCTTAACACAAAAGCATATACACATTAGATTTTTTTTTTTCTGAAAGCAGACTAAAAGCATTTAAAAGAGGCCTTGTATACAATAACTGCTTTTAAAAAGAGACTAAACTAATTCCCTTTTTGTTAAACTACCTCTGGTGGAATTTCTGGCATAAGTAGTTACAATGTAGTGTTGTTTATAGAATAAGAATGAGAAGATAAAAGAACGGGAGGCATCAAGGGGATGCTAGTGTTCCAGTTACAAATGTTCATAAAGCAATTTAATCCTTCTTCCTTTTCATAAGCAACATTTATCTAGAAAGAATTAACTCACATCAAACATTCAGATGTTTTAAACTGAAGGGAAGAAGGCGATGAAGCAATGCTTTCACTAGACACATCTAAAGAAAGTTCAGCAAGTGTGCTTTTTCTAATCTCTCTTTATGCAAAAAAAAAATGATATTCATCCAAGTCAACCCATCAAAATGGTTCCCATGAAGAAATTATAGCTTAAAAGATTTCCTGAAAGACAGTGTCAACAGGGAGAGCTAACTAAGGATGCACAGTGGAAGGCTGGGGAATTGTCAGGCGACTAGAGCACAGAACTGGAACAGCTTCTAAAGCAACCCAGAGAAGCCAAAATGAATTCAGAAATGCACTAAAGGATGGGCAGAAAACAGAGGAGACCAAATCAGAGCGTGTTATCTTGCCAGCAATGCTGAGATACTGCTAGGATGGGGGACAAGAAATTTTTGATGAAGAGATCAAGGGCCAACATGGCCAGGACATCATAAGACACCCTGGGTCTTTGGGGAAAATTCCTCAATTGAGGACAAGTATACTAGAGTGGAAACAGACTTTACCTTCTACCAACTTTGTCTATGCTGACATCACCAGGGACAGCTAAAGTCTTCCTGTTAGCAACTGTTTCCCCTGATTCTGAGACAATACGTTTCAATTTCATCAGTATTGTCTGTGGCATGTCAGAGAAGACAGGAGTAGAAAGGGAGGTCATGAATCAAGAGCTAATTTCTAGTATTATATCCAAATTTAAATAAAGTGACCACTGCATTGTTCACTGACTTTTTTCTTTTATAGCTTCAATGCTTACCATTGAACATAGTAATTATCGGTAGCCCATGAAATAGCATCTCTAGTACCAAATTCTATCAAGCCTTACTCTTTACATTTTTCTCAATCCTAAAAACATTCCTGTCAAATTTTCTTAGGCATAAAGATGTTACTTGTAGCTTGAGGCTGTCACATGGTATAGGCAGTGTATAAGCAAGTAAGTTAATACAACGTACTAATTTCCATCTGGGTGGCAGGTAAAGCGTCCAGGACTGGGCAGTGTAGCCAAGTCTGGGTGAGTCCTCCCAGGGAAAGTGGGGCTGAGGACGGGGAATGCTTAAGGAGGTCGCTGTTTTAAGGAAACAGAATATAGCAGGCTAGGCGAACAGCACAAGGCATTGGACCGCATGCCACATAAAAAGAACTGCAAACAGGTGAAATTGCAGACCTGAAGGAGATGAGACTGGCAAGGCAGAGAACATTTCATTGGAAGCTCTGTATACCCTGCTAAGAATGTGGTTTTTCTCTATAAAATGTTATCCTTGAAGGATTTTAAGCAAAGAAAGGATAAGTGGCATTTGATCTTTTTATCTAGGTTTCCATGGTTGCCATGAGGATAATAAGTTGGACAGGAACAGAGAGGAGTGGGGGAGGTTCCAGAAACAGGAGGGACTTGGAGTCTAACCGGCAGCTGGTGGTTAGTGACATTTCAGATTGAGATTTGAGCTTCAGTTTTTCCTCCTTGTACTAAATTTCTCATTGTATTAGATGTGCATTCCTTTCAAACTGCAAAGCAGTCCAGGTTTGCTACTAATTGGTTCTATAATTCTGAATTCATCTAATCTCTAAGGATATCCAGTTTATTCTCTGTAAAATGATAAATTAAACAAGATAATCATTTCTAGCTCTAATAATTCTCTATTATAAATCTTTTTACATATTATGCCTCTATCTTACTTCCCCAAATAAAACACACAGGAGATTAAGAAAATTGCTGAAATATTTGCCAACAAATTGTACAACTGCCAACAAAACTCAATTATACTCTCGTCACCATGAAGCACAAGTCAGTTCTTTAAAAATGGTCCATTTGTAAATGAAATTACTGTAATATACTCACTGAGCCACTTGTAATATGAAAAAAAAATCCTTTAGAATGGTTAGTTCAATAGGCAGATCCATTTACGCTGTTGCTTTTTTCTTGGGATTAATCCATTACTTAAACGATAAATTTAGACATTCATTTCCTTGAAGGTAGGCCCATTAAGAATTAAATTTTATAGAATAATTTTATAAAGCAGAGCATTGCACTTTCTACAACATTATTGATATTTTTATATTTTATACCATTACTGTTCATTATACTCACAGTTCCCTTTGGGCCAGGTAATCCTATATCTCCCTAAATCGATAAAAACAAAATTATATTAGAACAATGTATTCACATATGATAGTTTCCTAAAAACATTTAACAGGATATTATGCTGCTGAAATTTATAGAAAACCATGAACAGAGATGAACCCTGACACCACAGAAAAAATTAGATTCAAAATTTGGATTCTTGTCCCAGTTTGGCTATTTAAATTCATAATCCTGTGTGAGCCATGTGACCTCCCAGCCTTGGCTAACGTATTAAATAACAGGGTTGAATCAGAGCTATCCAAGGCTCCATCCATGTCTAAAACGCTAAGTGTTGAGAACGCTAATCTCAAAAGACATTAAACTAACATTCTGTTATAAAACATCATAGACATTTAAACATAACTACTTTATTTTTCAAATTCTAACAGTATTTTAAAACTTATCTCAAAAGTCTATCAAGCTAAATATGCATGCTTTTATGCAAAAAAAAATAAATAAATTTAAAAAGCTTAAAAATCTCCCATCACTAATTCTAGATATGAATTCAGCTCGTTACAAAACAGGATGATTTAAAACATCCTCTTAGTGCATAAAATGAACAATTTTAACAAAAAAATAAAATTGAAAGAATTATTTTTGGAACTTGCTTAATAGTTAGGCAGCTTTGCCTAATTCATATGTTACATTTACATTAACTCTAAACCCTGAAAATCTGAATAAAGACAACATTCCCAGAATTTTTTCCTGCATTCAAAGCTCTCTGAAACTAATTTAGGAGAAATCTATCACCCTGACCCCAAAGGAACAAACATAAGTTTCCACACTAGCTCATACTAGATTGTGTCCAAACCATAATGATGAGCCAAGAGGTCTAGCAGTACTGTCAGGAAGGATAACTTGTTCTTATTGTCTTCCTGGAGACTGAGCCACAGAGGGAGATAAAGGTCACTCCTTCGGAGGGTTTTAGACTAGAGAGAATGCCCACCATCACACGTATGAGCCAGAGCTTTCTAACTATACTAAAACTTGAACTTCGTTTCCATGATAGGCACTTTTCACAGACTTTCTGTAGGCACAGAAGAATCACCCTGAATCAGCCTGAGTCTAGATGTAAAGCCACAAGAGAATTCACCATGTCTAAGGGGACACTTTGTTTTCTAAAAGTTTAAGTTTAGGTCTATCACCTTTGGGGTATTTTCCCTCCGCTTTACTTGATCTTGGCTGTAATCTTGGAGAATCATTTGTTACCTTATATAAGAAACATCTTAACTTTTAAAGAAGGCAAAAATAAGATAACAGGGTCAGAGAAAAGAAAAAAATGTATATTCTAATACAGTTTGAAATCAGTAAGCCTCCATAATTAACCAGAAAAAAAATGTCTTACAAGTTCACCCCTTTCTCCTGCTTCACCTTCTTCACCAGATGCACCCTAAAAATTAAAAGTCACATATGAAAATGCTTAGTCTCTTGGCTCAGTCTTAACCTGTCAACATGGATGAGCATTCATCAATGGCCACACTGCTTCCAGGGTCAGGCACATACAACACGCTCTCACTGGCTTCTCAGCCTAGCAGCCCAGCGGTCCGTGGCTGGGACAACTCAGGAAACGGCTAAGCAGGTGGGTGCTGGAAATACTGGGGGGAACACTCTGCGAAGTGTGTGATTGTCTACCCCTTATGCCATGCACCTGAAACTAATACAAAATAATACTGAATGTAAACTGTCGTTCGAAAATAAAATTTTAAAAGTCCATATGTGAAAAAACAAAAAAAAATAGCCTAGGGAAAAAAGCCAAACCGTGAGACTGAGTTTCTGCTAAAGTTGAGGATTACTGACTGTCTTCAGCAATCTTATAATTAGATAATCTTTGAAAAAAGACTCTTACCGTATAAAAAGCAACCCAGACAAAGGACTGATTCTAATTCATATGCATAGTTTACTTAATAATTCCTTGATACAGGAAAATTTAAAAAATGATGATGTTGCTACAGAGGGCTTCATCAGAGTAAACCAATTCGGTGAAGGAGGGAGGTAGGGCCACTTTTTTCAAAGAAAGGACAATGGGTAGTTTTGGAGACAGAGCCCCCATTACCTCCAGCTTATTAAAACAGTTAATAAGGCTACATACCAAACTAAACTCTAGTTTTCACTCACTGAAACATCTTGAGAAAAACTACCAGCCTCCAACATTTTAATTACACCCCTAAAACAGCTGGTGCCCCCTGCTGGTGAAGCACATTCATGCACACTAAACACCGCATTTTGTAGTATCCGGATAGGACCTACCTGTTCACCCTTTGGACCAGGTTCACCGACTACACCCTGTAATAAATAAAATATAATGCTATTTGGTGTTTTAAGATTTCTATCTATATAATTTCAAATGAACCGACTGCCTTTATTGGACTGGTGAACAACCACAACTATGACCATTGTCAAAGAAGAGAACATCTCCCTCCCCTTATCACCTAACAAGCATCAGGAAAGACCTGGAGAAACTGACGATTGTCCCACCCAGGGCGCTGGACACCTTGGGGTATTTTTTTATCACATTTATGTAAAATTTGACTAGCAAGAACATAAATTTAGAACTAAATAGAAAGCATGGTTATAACCGAAATCTTTACTTTCTTGGCTTTTTTCCTCTCTTGATAAACTACTATATTAATAGGTTTTTTTCTTGCTTCTTAATCTCAACTCTCATTCATTTCAAATCCCTTTCTTGATAGCTCTCTGTGATACATTCTTGAAAATTTGCAATTTTCTGAAAGCAAGGCCAACATAGTAGAAATCCCTTCCAAAGAGGGACTTTCTGGAGGTCCGGATATCTTACCCTGTCACCTTTCATTCCAGGAAGTCCGGGGGGACCAGGCAAGCCGGGGAGGCCGGGGCTCCCCAGGGAACCCTGGAGAGCAAACAGAGGGCCCCAGGATCACTGTCACTGCAACACTGACAGCACACAGACCTCGGGTGTGTTGACTCCCATCTAAAATAAATGTGCTGTGGTTGGTTTAACTCTTTTCCTCAAATCTGCCTCTCCCACGTTCTCAGGAGGAGAGAGCCCTGCTCCCCCAGCCCCTCTGTCCCACCTCTGAGCTCCTCGATTGCCTGCGCTCCTTCCCAACAGTGGGCCCTTTGAGTCCAGCCCCGGCAATGGCGCTGCCGCGCCTGCTGTGTAAACAAGCACAGCTGGAGAAGTAAAAGGCAGCATTCAGCACAGCTCTCTCCAATTCCAAGAACAACCAGGGGCCAAAATGTAGCGATTCATGTCTCTCCTGGCTTTAAAATGTACGCTACAAACCACACATTAAAATACAATCTGAGGGTATTTTAGATATAGTTTGAAATTACACATTTACTTTTTCATATATTCACATAACAATAAAGATCAAGGAGAAATGATTAAAGTACCCTTTGTAAACTGTTTTCCTCTCCTTGCTTATTTTTTAAAAAATGTATTGTGTTTTGTATGAAGCTAATAAACTGCTGGAGACTGGAAACATTACTTACCAGTTTGCCTAGCGGGCCTGGGGGTCCCATTGGTCCTATTTCTCCTCTACTGCCCTGGAAAAACACAAACAGGTGTCTGCTGGATAGTTTGCCAACATTCAAATGCTTAATTATTATGCCAATAAAATAATATACTACCAAGGTTTGTGTAAGTACATTCTCCACATCTTCGACTAAATGCAGACACCTTTATGTCAAATGCCTACAGCCTCCTCACTGTTCATCCTTCAGCGAATATTCCAAATGCAGTTCATTGTGATTACAGATCATTGGGTAGAAATGACTGATACATTTGCATGAAATGGCAATCGGCAATTTTCAGCATCTAAATCACCATCTAACTCATGGTTATTTATGTACATGCTTTAGCACTTCGTTTAGACTAAGTGTTCTTGAAGTGTGGGTATATTACTTTTGAATTCCACACAATGCTTAAAACTCAGAGTAAACTTTCAGGTGTATAGTACATTTTAAAGCAATATCTAGCAAATGATCTTGAACCTCAAAAGAGTGAAAAAGAGACAAGGACAGAGAAGTTCACCTTTACATCACTATTGCAACTTTGAAAAGACACAGATGGTAGAAATTTATAAAGTTTCTGAAATCAAAACTTCTTTGTTCTACTCATTCTTGTCTTAAACATGTCTTAAAAGATTGAACAGACTTTGGAATATGCAATTTATAATGAAGATATACCAAAAGCAACACTCTAATTTCATTTTCTGAGCCAATTTCAATTTTTATTTGGAACTTGAAGACCATTGAGAAGATACATGAACTCTTCAATTTCTTTCCCTGAGAACTTCATACTGTGTTATGCAGTCTGATAAAAGTTTGTTTTATTTCTAATACATGTTCAACAAAGCTGAACACTGAGGTTATTGAATAAATAATCATATTTCCTGGACAGTGTTATAAAAATGAAAGTAGTCTTGTGAGTGTGTTTAGTTTTCCAATGATACAACTTCATATTCATGTTTAATATTTAATAAATGCTTCTGAAAAGATTATACTGATCTGACTCCTATGCTGTTCTTTCATCTATAAGTTGAACAATATGTTAAGATCCATAAACCTACTGAATTTTCAATTTCTCTAAAGGATTAAGAAATATTTGCCAAATTACAGGTCTCTAGCTATGAGTTATAATTTTCATATGACTGATAAGTGATTTAAGTGTAATGCTCTTAAATACTTTTCAAAATTTTTGTATAAGCAACCTGTCTAGTACATGAGTTTAGACAACACATTGGTCCTTAACCCTGTGAGCAGCGTGGAAGCCAGAGACAGTGCCTATGACGACAGACGCTGGCAAGATGTAAATCTCAATGAAAACCAGCCACTGTAATAAGTTATTCTATTCATTTATAGACATAAAGACTGGGTTCCACCCCATTAATTTGGCCCAGCACTCCAAAGTTCAAGACAGACTTTCTTCAGCATATCTGCTCTTTTGGCATTTTCAAATAATTTCTGAACTGTATCATGATTGAGATCCTACAGGTCATTGGGCTAACAGGACTTTAATTCACAGAACAATTAATAGTCATCAGTGGGGAAAATAATTAATCATATCAGAAGGGAAAAACTCAGTCTTTGATACAACCTCAAGTATTCACTTCTAAATAAATGAACCGTTATGTCATCTTATCCAAAATAAAGATGATTAATATAGTACCTTTTTTCTCTTCCACACAAAAGGGCTAAATTAAAATAAGGGATTATATAACCTTTCATTTATTTTTGGAGAGATTAATTATTTTTCCAAAGACAAGGATTTTCTCTGTTACTTCTTACTTCTCTGTCTTTCCTGAGTTCTTGCTTTTCAGTTCATAAGTATTTTTCAGCCACTGGCAGGCCCACAGTAATGTACGTGAATGGCTCAGAACCTCAGTGTAGGCAGTCTGCCCAGCTGAGCTCGTGCGCCCATGTCGGCCCCACACACGCAGGACTGTGGGAAGGACCCGTGAAATCATGGGCGTTCACGCCTCTGTTACCGCACAAATAGACAGCACGTAGCTCCTCATTTTTATTTCACTTCCATCCTATAAATCCTCAGCCACTTTAAACTTAGGTATTTCTATACACATCTGGCCATTATGGGGGAAAAAAAGGTAATGTTTATGTTTACAACAATGACCAAGCAGCTACAAACAAAGTGTTAGGGCAAGGTTTTTTGATGGCCATTCTTAAGATTCCTATGTATCACAAAAATATGCATAATCTTTCTCTAAGTTCAGGAATTTCACCTGTAACTGAGGTGAACAGGAGTAATCAAGATATAAATAGTAATCTATAAAATGGTAGATTGAACTAAATACATTCTGCAGGGAGCAATTAACCCTGACCTGGTCACCACATGTGTGCTAAATAAAGGATAAATCTGATGTTTCAACAGCTGTGATGATAACCATATTCTCAGATGTGGGCGAGGGAGGCTGGTAGGAAAATGGCGATTTAGCCCGTGGATACTATCTACAAACCCCATGACGATAAGTGTTAGGAGTTTTAACAAGAGAATTGGAAAGAACTAGAAAAAAAGGCAAAATCCTACCATTAAAAATGTAAGGACCATAACAAAAGGCTCAAATTTTATCTTGGATGCTGTGTACCACCACATATAAATCTCATAGGTCCACACACATCAGCTGATTCATCCCTATTCAAGAAGCCACTCAAGGCTTTGAAAAATGATGCAGACCCTCTACCCATGATTCCCAACCCTGGCTGTGCACCAGAATCCTGGGAATCTTTTAGAAATACATTTCCCTGGATGTCTTCCACCACCCCGTCTCCCCATCTGCCCTCCATATTCCACCCTTTTCCCCCATATTCTGATTCTTTAGGTTTGGGGTAAGGCTTAGGAATCTGTTTGGGCTTATGTTGCATTTGTTTGTCTTCACCAGCTTTATTTAGACTTCTGTTAAATGCTCACCTCACTACAGAAGTTCTATTAATACTAAAATTTACAATTTGCTAAATATGTCTCGTACCATTAGAATCTGGCAAGCTAACATCAAATAAAACCTGTCCTGTGGAGCCTTGACTTGAGCTGTCATGCATGGCATTAGAGGGGAGGGGTGAGGCTGCGGACTCCGAGCTCCATTGCCAGGTTTGGCCTCTGGCTCTGCTGGGCATCAGCCAACTCTGGCCACTCAAATTAACCTCCCTGTGCCTGGCTTTCCTCATCCAGAAAGTGGGGATTAAAAACAGTACCTATCTTATAGTGTATTTGAGAGGATTGAGTAGATGCATAAAGCACTTAGAACAGTATGACTCATAGTAAGCATTTAGAAGTGTTATTATTTTTATCCAAGGTTTTATTCAAGGGCTAAAGAAATCAGTCAAAATTATGTTTTTTAATGGAATGTTTAATTACATGTTCTTCACCTTTCAACTCTCCCACATCTCTTTAAAAGCACAAATTGTACTTGGAAAAACATCTCTAGTCCTCAGTCCTTGAGTTTCTGTCAAGACTGTTGATTACCAGAAAGGCACTCTCTTTATAAACAAGTGCAGTATCCTCACTTAACATCATCAATAGGTTCTACAACTTTAAGTAAAATGACGTATAACAAAACCAAATTTACCATAGGCTAATTGATGTAAATGAGAGTGAAGCTCCTGTGGCAACTCATCAATGTTATAAGGAAATGACATTGAATAAAATGATGTTATTTGAGGATCCACTATACTGGGAGCTTCTTTGTAATACTCATCTTTGTCATCTTGACAAATAATTCTATTTGGAAGTTTTCCTTTAAAAGCAGAACTATTAAACTTTTAAAATATCACAGAAAAAAGTTAATTATACTTGTGTTTTCACAATTATTTTACCAAAAAAATAGACTTTATTCCATTGGGCTCCAGACTGTGTTGGTGGTTGTATCTGCCTTATTACCCAAAATGCTAAGTAGCTGAAGAATAAACATTATCTTTACTACTTTGCCAATTTTAGATGGGAACTATAAATCACTGTACTTAGTCTGTATTAAATAATAAATGCCTCTCTTGGGTAAAAAGGATGCTGATTAACCCAGAAGATCGATTATAATTTCTATCAATTGTTGCTTTTACAAACCCATTTTTATAATATTAACTTTGGAAGATCACATTAGCTCTACTACAGTAATATTTTTTAGATTTGCCACAAAGATATTTTTAAAATCTATTCAATCTTGCCGAATTATATAGTTCCTATTTCTCTCTAGTATAGATTTAAATATTCTCTCACACACAGAGGTAGATAAAATTATCTTTCTTAACTGTAACTATCACAGCTGTTTCACAAGTTACTGACCGGGCTAATTACATCCCAGGGCCTGGGTGGGGTAGGGAGACAGCTTAGATCACTCAGCAACACACCATATGGGAACCTCTGTGCTTGAGGCTGTGAGGGTGGGGGTGGGGACCTCAAGGGAAATGAGACAGGCTTCTGTGCCCCAGGAGTGTACGATCTTCAGAAAACTGGAGAGAGATCAGCATGGCACTCACCAGGAGAGCAGAGCAAACCCAATCCACTCAGCAAAAGCCCTAACAAGTTCTGAGAGGCCTGGAAGCAAACAATGCGCCAGCACCACTTCATGGTAGGACCAGATCAGAGGCCCTGTCCACTCGCCTGCTCAGGAGTCGCCCAGACCCAGGCACAAACCTAGTGAAGTGTGCAGTGTCGTGGCAAAAGCCAGACACACAGACGGTCCAAGTGGTAAAGGTATGTGCTCACATGGAATCACTGGAGATGCCAAAAAAACTTCAATATTTTTTTCTGCGATATAGGCAAAAGTTGATGGAACAATGATGGGGAAACGGGAATACCGCTTAATTTCAAATACATGTTCCAGTTAGTTCTGGTCCATTAGTAGAACACATTAGAAACACGTTTTCATTCCTTCTACTCAACTTCTCAATTTGAGATTTGCAAGAAAAATTGATCAGATGTGTGAGGACTAGTTGAAAATGTGTGAACTTATCTATGAAACTGAAGTTAATGATGTAAAATGAAAGAACAAATGTATCTTTCAGTAAGGAGATCTGGTGTACAAACTCTGCTCCAGAACTATAATATTTATAACCTCTCATGACAATTTCCTGAAAAATTTATAGTAGGTGAGAAGTCAGTTATTACCACATAAGCAGCACAGCAAGATTTATTACACCTCCAATTCAGTTCTTTTCAAAAAGTATTTACTGGGCACTACTTTATGGCAGACCCTGAGTAAAGAGATGTAAGAAACGAAAGTGGGTCAGATGCATTCCCACCTCACTGAGGTGTCCACAGCAGGAGGCAAAAAGGGACCAAGAGGTTCAGATTAAAAAGAGATCACTTCTCTCTGGGGAATAGGGCATATCAGAGATAATTTCATAGTAGAATTAACATTTCAATTACATCTAAGAAGGCACGTGGGAAGTTGAGTCAGGGAAATGGAGAAGAAAGCCATCTAAATGCAAGACACAGCAGAAGCAAACAGGACGGCTGAGAAAGTGCAAGAGAGTATTTGGGAATTACCATGGGGTCCACTTTGACTGGAGCACAGCCTCTGAGCACGGCAGAAATGGGAAGTAAGACTCAGGCATAAGCAGGCAGTGTAGGGTTTCGCACTTTCTGGTATTTTTAGCGGAGATCCATTACAGATTTTTAACTGAAGAAGGGAAGCGATGATGGAGGCTATGCTTTGGCAAGGCCAGCACGGCAGCGAGTGCAGACTCAGAGCACTGCCATTCCCCGGGACTTTGGAACTGTGCTCGACACTTTTGTTTGCTCCATGACTGTGGGGACCCCACTGGAATTCTACAGTGGGGATCATAGATGCAAGGCACCCTGCAATCGGCAAGAGTCCTGGAGAACAAGAAACGTTTCAACCATAATTCCAAGCACCCCATTAGGAGACATTGATAAACGAAGGAAGACTGGATCTGAGCAGGCAGATCGGGAGAAGACGCGGTAACCCCAGCAGCAGCGACTGACCCGAGTCATGGTGGTAAAGGTGGGCTTAGAAAGGAAGAGGCAAAGATAAGAGACTTTGGAAAAGGAGGCAATAGAAACAAAAGGTCCTACTGGAGATAGGACATGTAAAGGTAGAAGAACACCAAAGCTTTGGGCCTCAGTGACAGGAACAATTTGGACTCTTTCAGAAATTCAAAAGTCAAAACCTTAACCAGCCTCCAAATCTTGCCCAGGCATAATTTCCCCTGATCCACCTCTTCTCACGTGAGAATATTAAACACACACACACGTACGCGCCACCTCATCTCCTTCTGCAGCTCTGCCCCTAGTTCGCTGCTTTATACATCCCATGGCACTTTACTGGCAATGGGTCAAACCCTCTCCATCTGTGTCACTTTTTGTGTTCAGTGCATGGTCCTGGCATACAGTAGGTGCTCCTCTATATAGTTTTCTGCTCTATTAAGTGAGTACTAGACATAACAGTCAACGTTCTCAAAGTTCCGGTGCCCCTAAAGCAGTCATGGCACATCTTCACTGCTTTACAAGTGTGACCTAGCTGTAACTCCATCGCTTTGACACTCAGTCTACAGAAACTATTTTAACTAGATAGTCACAAGCTTCAAGCAAGAAAGAAGAAAAGAGTAAGTGAGGAGTGAGAGAGCAAAGAGCACAATGAGGAGCAGGGGCTAGCTTTTTTTGGCTGCAGAAGAACTTCCAGAAACCATCTGGCAGATGTCAGCTGACAGGTGTCTGTGAGAAGTAAAAGCACTCGCACGTCACAAGACACCTGGACTATTTCATTTTCCTAAAGCATGAAAATCCTAATTCAACATACTAAAGAAATGCTTTAAAAGAAGTAATAATAATGGAAAACATTTCTGTTTTCTCAGTTGTAATTCATTCTTTTTCTTGTCCAGCAAACTTTCAAAAACAAAAAACAACAAAAAAAAAAACTTAGAAGGCCAGAGAGAATTTTTCAAATTAAGTTTAAGTGCATACTGTTTAAGTTCCTAATCAGTTTCTCTCTGAGGGTTAAACTAGCTAGTGAGAAAATATACATTGCTATATTTGCTGCAAAACAGATTATTTACAAACTCACACCAAAAGAAGTCTGGTGGCATCTCAAAGGATTAAATATAAAGTCACCACATGACCCAGCAATTCCACTCCTAGTTATATACTCAAGAGAAATGGAAATAAACACCTAAACAAAAACTTGTGGAAAAATGTTCATAGCAGCATTGTTCATAATGGACAAAAAGTGGAAATAATCCAAATGCCCATCAATGGATGAATGGATGAATAAAATGTGGTATAGCCATACAATTGAATATTATTCAACAATAAATTATTCAACTGATACATAATACAACATAGATGAACTTAAAAATGTTATACTAAAGGAGAGAACCTTTTACTCCTTTACGACCATTTAAAAAAGCATAATTGTAAAATTCCATTTATATGAAATTTCCAGAATAGGCAAATATACAGAGATGGAAACTAGATTAGTGGTTGCCTAGGGCTGAGGAGATTGGGAGGAAAGTTGAATGAACACAAGTGAATACAAAGTTTCTCTTTTGGATGATGAAAATGTCTTAAAGTTTACTGTGACAATGGCAGCGCAATTCTGTAAATATACTAAAAGCAATTAATTATATATTTTGAGTGAATTATATAGTATATGAATTATCTCTTAATAAAGTTTTTTTTTATTACTAAGATATTTCCTTCAACATGGGATGAGAGCAGAAAGGGTCATTGTGCTTTTTTTTAAATAGTTCATTTCTGTTTCCACTTTCTGAAAAACATATTGTATATCTAACTTTTCTGTTTCACTGTCTTCTAGACTAGCACATGCTCAAACAACAGAAGACACTCATGGATGAATAAACGAATAGAGGAGCACCCAACAAAGCCCAGAGAAGGCACTTGGGAAGGGCCTATGGGAAGGGATACTCACAGGAAGCCCCCGGGGTCCTCGGGGTCCCACCTCTCCTGGCGGCCCCTGTTGACCCTGTTATGAAGCAGGTAGGTAGAGAAAACGTTAACATCCCCCAATCCTTTGCTCAGTGATTACAACAAGTTACAATGTGTGGGAAGAATTTATGGCACCTTACCGGTTTGCCCGAATTCCCCAATTGGCCAGGTTTCCCTGGAGCGCCTGTGGTACCCTAAAGGTAAAATGCAGCATGATTCAGATGGTGAGCAAGCGTAACCATCAATCTCTCACCCAGTCCAGGTATTTCTTAGCATTAATTTCTCTATTTCACATTGAGAATGTGGGAGAATATATACAATCTCTTTCCTGGTGGATATATCACAATTCTTTAGATTCAGGATGATGTTTTGTCATTCCCAGCAGTACAGGAAAGGTGTCAAAATGTCAAACATGATGGTCAGATGTCAAAAAAAAGTCTTTAGCCTCATAAGAATATGAGAGGATATTTTTTTTCTTTGCTATATTAATTACATGTCTTTCCTTTACCATTTCCACCCCCAATATACTTCTTTGAGCCCTTTTACCTGACATTGACATTATTAAAATTATGAACAATTATGTTGACATGCGGTAATAAGAGGGTGTGCTGTGGAGAAAGCCCTCCCAGCAAGCTCCAGGGAAAGCACAGGCCTGGGGGTGCCAAGTCCACTGCCAGTCTCTCCCCGTCCACTTATTAAGGCGCCTCTGTGCTCAAGATGCTGAGGGCTACTGTGAGTGGAGGGCTGTAGCTGTGTAATCTAATGGCATCCAATTTCTACATTATTCACATTTTATCTACTTTAAGTTTTTCTTTCACTGTTGGTTTTAATTGCTAGAATATAAGCACTAGTTGATCAGTACACAAACAAGGTGCCTAATATCTTTTTAGTTTAAGTTAAGTCATCTTAATATTCACTGGTACAATTTCTGTGGCTTAAGAATATGTTCCTTATTTTACTTGGGTAAAAGCAATAAAACTGTCTCTGTTTTATCCTGGAAAAAGATGACACTTCCAAGAAGGAAATCCAATCAGCAATACTTAGTCAAAATATTCTTCCTGCAGCTGGGGAAGGGATTAGCCTTTGAAGACTTAAAGCCTTTTTGATTTTTCCTTAGGGTTGAATAGAAAACAAAAGGTAGGTTGCAAATATTAAAAATTATAAATAAATATGTTAATAAAATAATAAAGAAGGTAGAGTATCAATTTAATAGTCTCTCCTTTTTACCTTTTCACCGGCCATACCCTTTGCACCAGGAATTCCAGGCACACCCTGAAAGAACGCACACGGGACACAGGTGCAATCACTGTATCTGAGAATCGGTGAGATGCCCAGCCCCCCGCACACCGCCCAGGGGCTGGGGGGCCATGAGAGCCGCTAGTGTGAGGGTCCTACTTCTCCAGCTCCGGACACTCAGTAATTGAACATCACACCATTTAGAAGGTATGAATGACTTCACTGTATCTGGCACATTGAGTCCGAACACCAGGAAAGCAGGGCCTACCTCTAAACTAGTTATTTTTCAAGCATGAACTGCCAAATTACAGTCCAGTACCATTTTCATGTCAACGGGAGCTCCTGCCAGCATGATTTCATGTTCAGAATCACTTTTAAAAAAGGACTATCGAAAAATTTAAGCTAAAAAAAGAAAGGCAGCAGAATGCCGGGTCTAACTAAGATTTGGTACTACTAGGGCTCCTAATATTCTCCAACTGATTATTTTTAAAGTGTCAGATAATAACTTGGAGGCCAGTCCACAATATTACCAAGCATTCCTTATTAACTTGAAACATTTGCCTCCAAAGAGCCAAAAATACCTGTAGTATAATCCGCATGAACTTGTGGCCACATTAATGCAGGGAAACACCAATTCGAGTAATTCAAAATAACACATAATCAAAAAAAAAAGATATCTTATGTCTCACATTATTCCTGAGCACTCTCAATCCTGCTAATGGGAACTTTAGGACTGGTTAGCAGTAGGAGAAAGTATGTGACCCTGCCCACAGCTCAGGGTTAGAAAAAGATGTAAGGAATACTGCGTGAACTAAAGAGAGAGAGGGGTACAAAAGATAAAATTAAAGTTTAGTATGTTATTAGAAAAATAACTAGCTACTCAGAGAAAAAGTACAGAAATGTAAATATAAAGATGTAAATTAAAGCATTGTTTCTTCCCCAGAGCTTTCAAATTATTTAATGTATTTCTCCCCAAAATTCACATCTATGTATATAAATCAACATATGTATATAAACCACTAAGCGTTTAAAGAAGTAAGTACTTACAGGTAACCCCTGCAATCCTGCATCACCAGGAGGCCCAGGTTTCCCTGGTTCACCCTGAAAAAGAAAGTTTTTATCCCACCTTTGAACCTGTATGAACTGTCGTATTTCTTTTTAAAAAGGAAGGCCACAGAGCTTCCAAGTAAAAAGATTAACCCTGCAGCTGACCTTACATACACTTTTATAATGTGGCTTAGTTAAGGGTGGGGGTGGGGGAGGAATAGGACTTAGGACTTAAATTCAAACAAAATACACAATTTCCTTCAACCTTCTTTTATCAATGGGACAATTTTACTGAGTTCCTGAAACCAAGCAAAACAAGCATACTATTCTAATAGGCATTTTGCATTGACACTTAATTAAAAAATTAAAAGGAGGAAATAAGTCAAAACCAGCTAAATAAATCTCACATTAATGTAGTAATGAAAATGCTATGCTCGGTTGGCCAGGGCAGCCATGGCTTTATTGGCTCTTGGACCAAATCACACAGCTACCTTTGTTCCAGGAATTCCAGGTATCCCTTCACGGCCATCGACACCTGGCAAGCCCTAAAGACACACAAAGAAATACACTGTCTCTCAGAAACAGCCACATTCTTCTTCCCTTCATTATTTTCCAAAGTTTTATTACAAGTTAATAATCACTTTGAAAAATGCGCTCGATGACTACAGCTCAAGGCATACCGTGTCTCCTTTGGGCCCGGGGAGGCCAGGGATTCCTCTGGAACCTTGAGGCCCCTGCAGGGCAGAAGGGGGACAATGGAGAAAACATGCTCAATTAACCATAATACTTAGGATGTGTCAAAGAGGTAACTGCGATCAGCAGATGACACTGAAAAGCCCGGTGTCAGTAGTGATTGACACTAATTTGAACTCACTCTGTCTCCCTTGGGACCTGCTTCTCCTGGGGCTCCTCGCTGTCCTTGATCACCCTGTATGCAAATGAAATGTTGTTACTATCAGCAAAAGCTACTTGTGGATAGAGTTTGGACATTATGAAATACCATCTACATTACCTTACCATTGCTCTTTTATCCCAATGGCTCTGTTCTATCATGGATGAGTAACTCAAGAAATCTTTTTATAAAAATTACGTCTTAAAGAATGATTTTCCATAGGGATCCTTGAGACTTACATGTTTTTTACTTTCATTTTAAATGCATATGCATTTGTGCTCTTTGGATGGATAGGGATAATAAAATTCAGGTCCATACTGCAAGGAACCTTGACATTTGAAACTACGTGCACATTATCAGCTGCCCCCGTTCACTGTCATGGCCGCTTGAGGTTTGAATTAGCTGCCAACTTGTTCTCCATATTATTTAATTCCCCAGTTAATAATAATGGTTTCTGTCAAAATTATCAAGCTAATATTGATATATGGGATAGGTGGCAACAGATGAGAGGATGTGTCTTCCTAAAATATAGCTTTTGTTGAGTGAATTACTCTAAAACCTCAAATGGCTTCCTATTGCTACTGGATGCATTCCAATTGCTAAGGTTGGCAGTAAACTCTCCACAATGTGGCTCTGCCTTATCTATTCAATTTCATCTTCTCGACAGACACTTTCCACTGCGGACAGCGGCAGCCTCTGGGACAGCCCCCCACCCACCAACGATGCTCCCTCTCACATGTATTCTGCTGCATCCCAGGCCAAGCTTCCTCTAAAGGTCCTCTTGCTTGGATTACCTCTATCACATGCTCTAGTGCTTGACCTTATAATGTATGGTTTAGTTACATTCTGTCTTTCCCACTGAACCACAGGACCTTGGAAATTCTATTTTACTTATACCTTTTCTACTTCCTATGTGGTACAGTTTATGATTAATGAATGACTTTTTAAATTTACCTCCAGAAAAGGTGTGAGGCAGCCTACAATAATGACGCATGTATCTATGGCAGTTGAAATATGGAATAATGAGATCAGAAATCATAGAGAAAGAAAAGGATAGAGCTACCCAAGAACTTGACATGAGATAGTTATTGTAATTCTAAGCATCCTGACAACCAAAACAAAAGAAAAACAGCCAACATAAAAGCTTAACAATTTGGCTTCACCTATGAGGAAAACAAAACCTATCTCAACCCAAGAAAGAGATGCTTGTCTTAATTTAAAATGTTTTAATAAATATAAAAACTATTGCCCATTTTTCTACTTTAATTATTCATATGTAAAAGACACTTGCACATATACATACATAGAGCAAACAAAAAACTATCATTGATCATTGCTTAAAAACAAAAGTCATCAGAGGATCTTGTAAAAGGAAAGCTACTTACAGGTGCACCAGGAATACCTCGAGGCCCAGGTTCTCCATCAAAGCCCCGAGCACCCTGCAAAGAAAACAAGACAGAGACATGAAAATGAGATCAGCCATGTATGTTAAAAGGCACAACAGTCTTTCTAAAGAACTTTAATAGCCTGATAAAAAAGAGGTTTTGTGTGTGTGACGTATTTTCTGTTCATCAGTGGACCCAAGTATTTAATACGACACCTGAAATATGAAAACTCTAGTTTACATCTTCTCATCCCACCAAAAGTGCTTACATCAAAACTTTGATGGTACCCTGGATATTCTTTTTAAATTTTTACCTTCTTCTGAAGACATTTTTTCATTGCTATTACACAGAGAGGGATGGGGAAAGAGAAAGGGAGAAAGAGAAGAAAAGAGAGATAGAAAAAGAGAGAGAGAGAGAAACATCATGTGAGAGAGAAACATCAATGGGTTGCCTTCTCCTGTGTGACCAGACTAGGGATTGAACCCACATACGGTATGTGTTCTGACCCAGAATGGAATCTTTGACCTTTCTGTCTAAGGAACAACACTCCAACCAACTGAGCCACACCAGTCGCGGCAGGCATCCTGGATATTTTAAACTAACACTGCATCCATTCTTGATTGCTGATGTGAACTAAAAACACTGGCAGCTGTTTAGAGAAGTTGGCAGATGTATTGGAAAAAGTTTGGTAGTCACACCCCAGGACTCTCAGGATTCCTGTGTGAATTCATGAATGGTGAAGACCAAAGAGCCACCCAAAAAATAGTTGCCATGAACTCTGCTGCTCTTAGAGCTGTGGGAGGGATCTCTTGGACTCGATTCCACCAAAAAGAATCAGATTTAGAATCAGAAGCCCAGCCATATAATTTGGAAGAATGAATTGTAATAAGGTTTCGAGCATCCCCACTCCCATCCTGGATAGATAGGTGTGAGGTTCACTTTGCATAGCGTATTTGATCTAGTCTCTACCACAGATTCACCCACCCAGTCAGTGAGTGGCTTAAGAATTATAAGGCTTTATCTAATATCTTGAAATTATCTCTGACTTGGTTATACATATACATATACATAGAATCTCTTCATTTTCATTACAAAAATCAAAATATAATTTCAAAAACAAAAATATTGAGGGGGGTTAGTGTTCTCTACATATGCTGCATGACAAAATACAATCCCCCCCTTTAAGTCTTTTTCGCTTCTGCTAATTGAATGAGAAGCAGAAAGGCAACTGATGAACAGGCCACCTCCTAATGAACAGGGCTGAGACGGAGAGATGACAAAATAAATGGAAAACAGTCAAAAGAGTATTGAATAGATGTCAGGCCAAGAAAATCAGGTGGACAGCATCTGTAGTAAGGATTAAAAATTAGAAAACCTTTGATAGAAAGTTCAGACACGGGTGGAATCAAAAAAAGAACACCACAGAGAAAGCACCACAAAGCCTTGAAATTCTTTGATCCCTAAAAACTAGAACAGAGCAGAAAGCATTCTACATTCACCAGGGAAGAAGAGATTTGGAAGACCTGAAAAAGACCTTGAATTCATCATTTGTCCTGTGTTGTGAGAGCAACGCCCAGCCTTTGCATTATAGAAATGGCTTTGATGCACTTTCTCTCTCATTGCTGTTCAGCATGAGCTCAGACCCAAACTGCTGTTACTAGGTAACCACTCCATGGGTCTAAGTTCACAAGATGAGCTTTTTTTTTTTTTTTAATTTAATTGGAAATGACTTGACAGAAATCAGAGGAAATGAGAAATTTTGAAAAATACCAAGTAGAAAAATACCTCAAATAAAAAGCATATCAAGATCAGTAATTGGTTTTGAAGTGAGGGATCACATATATTAGGAATGATTTAAATCCAGGAAAAAAATAAATAAAAGCAAAGGCCTAGGTATCGGAAACTTTGAAATAAATGGGATTTATTATTTAATAACAGAAAAGATACACACAAAATGTTACTTAAGATAACATAAATATGGAAATATAAAATGTTTTTTGAAGTACAGTGTTTTTAGAAAAGAAAACATGGAAAGCAAAGCAGGCAGAATGAGAATAACTAGCTGAGACAAAGAGGCTGAAAAAAATGAAATTGAAGAAATTATTCACAGAAATTATTTTGTTTGTCTTTCAAAAAACAAAAATGTGCATCTCTTTAAAAAATATTTAATTTATTGAGTACCTACAATGTGAAAATTATTCCTGTTTAGTTGTTAACAAAAGGCTGTATGCTTCTGTGTGGAATGGTACAAATTAGCCATTAGCCACAGACATTCTAAATAGACTGGGGCAAGAGAGAGTCAGAAGAGGTGGTGGACAAGAATGGGTTTTTTTTCCTCCTGGAACCTATAAACTGGACTTCATAACATACTTTCTAAGAAGTCATAACCATTTTTTTAGTCTGGTAAAGAAGCTAGATGTGCATGCGCACGCGCACACACACACATGCTCACATGCAGAGCAAGAAAAACACTTCTGAGCACATCTCGAACTTTCAGGTTTCCATTGTTTTTGCTTATGATATTCACTCAGCCAAACATTCCCCAGCCTCTATCCTCTGCCAACAGCAACACCCCATCCTTCCAGGCCTGACATCCTTCTAATGCCAACTCTTTCATGAATCCTCCCAGTTCCCCTATCAAGGTTGGCTACTCTGTCTTCACTTCCTCATACCTCTTGCCCTCAAGTTAATGTCTCTAGTGTTTGCATTGTAATTAGCTATCTGTTTTCTCCCAATAAATAACAAACTTGCAGAAGTCCTTATTCCTCTGAATCTCCCCCAGCATCTCACAGAATACCTAGCTATGGAAATGTTAAGAGAATCTAACCTCTGAGATCAGGCCAAGAAGAGGTCAATGAACTCTGGCCACAGGTGTATGATCCCTGTTAAGGGCAGAGCTCAGCAAGCAGCTTGTCAAGACAGCTGCTCTTGGCCTTAGTGTCCTGGCTGGCACCCTGCCGTCTCTCACCTCACTCTTTCCATCATTCCCTGTCTTTGCCTTGCCCTACAGGCACTGCATTAGTGCCATCAGTGTCAACTATTAATAATGATAAAAAGAGAAAATGCAGGGGTCCAGCAGAAGTAACGCCTGCTTGAGTGTGGTTGCTGGGTAATAATATGGGTGTAATAATTTATAGTTTTAATTTGAACATTTCACCTAAAATGTCATAAGGTGTGCTTAAGTGTGATATTGTTATGTTATAGAATTACATGCTTATGATTTTGTAATAAAAGATTTTGTAACAAAAAGGGGCATTATTTGTGCTGGACCCTGTATAACAGCCCTGTTTATTACTATTTACCTCTTTAAGATACGTAATGCAAGACAAGTATCATGCATACTACTCATTTCTATTGACTATGTTTATAACAGATGTATGTGATCTTAACCAAGCATCTAAAAAGCACCAAACAGAAATAAAAAGTGATGTTGCTGAAGATAAGAAGGTATTTTTAAATGGCCCAAAATTTAAACATTTATACATTTTGATACTATGTCATCATCATCATCTTACTTTTTCTCCCTTGTCCCCAGTTATGCCAGTGATGCCTCTCAATCCATGAGCTCCCTGGAAATGTGAAAAAGAAAAATGAGTTATTGTAGGTGAAGCACATATTTGTTTATCTCATCACAAAAACTGACCTGGAAGAAGGATGTTATCATAACCTAAGATAACATTAACAAACAGTGACATTATATAGATGACCTTTTCTAATTTAGAAAGAAAGACCCAAGGAGAATTCCTCTAATGGCAAATCCTATTTAAAATTCTGAAGACTTACACAAACCTGAAATTGGAACAACTACTGATGGCAAAAAAAAAAAAAAAGTAAATATCACTAGTATAGGAGAATTATGGTAATGTGTGTGACTTAGCTTTTAACTTGTATACCGAATACACTGCCATCCCCACCTTCTTCATGGTTTGTAAATTGGTTACATGTAACATGGCTGTGATCTTAGACCTTGAAATAATTATTCCTCCTCAATGTACACCATTAAAGGCAATTAGGTTCCCAAAATAACCCACAAAAGCTTATGACCTATAAATGGAGCTGAAGTCTACATTAACCACGTGTAGTCACTATTCATTACACCATTTCTATGATAAATGCATTCTGAACTCCAATTTGGTCCGATAGGAACCCATCTCACCCAATCTCAAGCACAGGAGTGAGTAATCCTAAAAATGAGGGTATGGAGTGGCATTTCTAGTGTCCCTTTCAATACTGAAATGTTACCATTCTTGACTTCCTGACCCCACAATGACAGGGCTCCAAAATGAATCCTGTCAAGAGTGAGCCTACGAGCTCCCTTGGGAGCAGCAGTGGGCGGATGCTCGATTAGGAAAGTAAGGTAGTTACTCCTGAACAGCTTCTTAACTGTCCACTGTAACTGGCTTCAGATAAAGTAACTCTAGGCCAGCTAGTTCCCTTGTGCTCTCACTTGGAGAAAATGGGCAAGTCCATGGCCAACTCTGCATCCAGGTCAGTCACAAATTCTGTGGAGATCAGTTGGGATTGGCCTGAAATGCAAATATGCAGGATAAACCAGCTTAGGATATCCACGTAGGATATAATGTGAAGAAGAGCAGATGAAAACTGTTCTTCTTCAAGGTAATTCCGAAAAGAATTCCAAAAATATTTGAGTGATAGCAATGACATGACAATGTCATGTATCGTCTCTCAAGGTGACTACTTCAGAGGGCAGAGCTTATTTATAAATGTTCCAAAAATCATTTTTTAAAAATCTGTGCATTACATTATAGATGCATGTTTAAAAAGTGAAAATGTGTGAATTTTACAGAAACATTTTGACATATCCACTCCCAAACACCAGAAGGTCAGCAGGCACTCATGGTAACCCCAATGGACCAGCTGAGCCATGCAGCACCCAACAGAGATCCTTAACCCATGAACACCTTTTTAAATGATGCTTGCAAATCCTGTTCATAGGATCTTTGGGAATGGTTTTTAAATAACTCTTTAAGTCCCTACCAAATTTCCATCAGATCAAAAACAGCATATCTCTCTCATACTATTTATTTCTATTTCCCACTGACAAAATGGAGCTTATCTACTAATTGTTTCATATCAAAGACTCAAAGAAGGCAAGCTTCTAGAACAAACACCTTGGACGCCTCAGAGACTCTTAGAATTCTCATGTGGTTTATAGATTCTCTGACTGGTGGCTTACGGGTTCTCTAACTCGTTTCCATTAGCTTGAGTTCCCATCAGCTCTGGTGAGCACTAATCTGCACAGCCCTGAAGCCTTTGTAAGAGGCCAGTCATGCAGGGAGAGCTGAGCCAGGGGATGATGGGTGGCCCCGTGTTTGTCTTTCTTAACTCTTACAGTTTCTGAGAACAGGACCCAATCTCGCATTTTACAATCTATACCTTGGCTGGCTACAATGTTCAACGAACATCCTGAAATTATTATTTCCGTAATTGTTATTACTCATTGTGACAAACAGTGTAACAATTCCACTTTCATATATGAAAGTAACGTAAATTCTGATTTAACTAACATTTTAAAATGAAGTATGCTAATGCCCACAATTACCTCACTGTGCATATTATTATGGCAACAATCTGCCGAAGCACAAGAGACCAACTTTTCATTAAAAGACATGATCATGAGCAATTAAAAATGTTCTAAGCATATTGATTCCATGCCTGTATAAGCTACATTAAATCCAGTAGGTGATATACCTGCTAAATATTCAGGATACACAAAATTTTCTCATTAGATCATGTATTGTAATAGTACCATATAACATAGAAAATATATATCCTCCTCTTGTGTTCAATATTTTCTTTCAGACTGCCTAGCCCTGAAATCTAGTAAGTGAATGTATGTAATTATAGATAGATTTTTTTTTTCTGTACAGTGCTTGAATGTACAAAACAGTGCTTGAATGTATAAATGGATTCTTTCCTATTTTGAAAAAACAGTAATCTCCTAAGACTGGCTTGGATGAAAAAATAGAGAATATCATGTTAATATAACACTATTAATCCAAATGCCAAATTGAAAAATATTTCAAATGTCATGAAAAAATACTATTTGCTTATCCTAGTTAAATATTTTTTAAAATACTTTACTGGAGGTCCTTGAGCTCCAACTTCTCCTGGTTCTCCCTGGTCACCTTCTTCACCCTAAAAAGCAACAAAAAAGCACACCTAATGTTATTCTAGCAAATGAACATAGAAATAGGTTTGGTCCAAATCAGCACATTTTAAATGTATTTAGCATCCTCTGAATTATTTCACTATACCTTAAAAAATTATTTTACATAAGTAAGCCATATTCATTGTAGAACATTGAGGAAAATGCAAGGAAGTATACAAATAAAGTCACCCAAATTCCACCTTTCAACTATAAATACCAGTAACATTTTAGATGCTTTTCTAAAGAAAAAGGGGCAGGAGAAAAAGAGAGGGAAGGAGGAGAGAAAGAGATGGAGACAGAGAGAGAACATGTATGCATTCATGTTTCAAGTGTGTGTGTTGGGGGGTACTATTATAAAAATAAGGTCATGCTATGCAAACTTTTCCATAAACTATGATATTTTTAATCATGATTTTTATTTTTAACTTTCTTCATCATTTTGACGTCAAATACAAAATTTTTAATGTATTTAAATCAGTCTTTCTTTTCATGGCTTATACCTTTGATGCCAGTCATAAAAAAAGTTTTCTCCACTCCAAAACCATAAATATTTCATCCATATTTTTCTCCTAGTAACTTTACAAGAGAAATATTTAATTATCAGTAATTTATTTTGATGTAAGATATAAGGAATAAATCAATCAATCTTTTTTCCAGGTAATTGGTCTCTTGCTCTCATATCACTTATTGAATAGCACATTCTCTCCACACAGATTGGATAAATCATCTTTAATATATACAAAGTTGTTAAGTACACTTGTTTCTAGACTTTCTATTCTGTTCTACTGATCTGTTGTATGATGTTGCCAATACCACAACATTTTAATTATTGAAATTTCATAATACATCTTAATCTCAGGTAGAGTGAATTCCTTTTCATTTATAGGTACTCTTATTGTTCAATTTTCCTAAATATCTACTCTTCCAGATGAACTTTAGGAATTGTTGGGCAGATCTTCACAAAAATTCTACTTGCTTCATATTAGGACTGCATCAAATCAATCGATTAATATGTAGAAAATTGGAATCTGGAACTCAGTTTATCTTCCTATTTAGTCAAATCTTTTTCTTTTTCTTTCCTTCAATAAAGTTTTGTTCTTTTCTTCATATTAGTCTTAAATATTTCTTAAGGTTGTTATAAGGTATTTTGACTACTTGGTAGCTATTGCCAGTGGAATATCCTTCCATTATGTTTTCTAGTTATTGTTTTGACTTTTTGATATTAATTTTATAACCCCTCAGGAACTTTCAAATGTTAATAAGGAAATCCAACTGTTGTCTCTTACAGGAAGATTACTGACTATGAAGAAAAGTTATTTTTTCTCTAACAAGGGTTTTACTTTAAACAACAGATACACTGCCCCACATTACTTTGGTAATGGAGATTTTGAATTGTTAAATTAATCATGAGAAAAATTCTTCATTTTTAATATTACATAAATAATATTAGATATAAATCCATTTTTTATCCTTTATTTCATGTTTCAATTCACAGTGTTTTTGCTCTACAGACTATACCTTATATTTAGAGATTTTTCACACACATACACAAAAGGAAATACAGAAAATTTAACAAAAGTATTAACATAGAAAATTTAGACACATAATGCAAAGAAGTAGGTTATGCCTAAGTCACTCATGCTTGATTTTTTAATGAACTATGAGTTTTACATAGGCATTTTAGTCTCATAATTATATTCAGATTATATCCCTAAGAACATATGATTGACAGTGGAGAGAGGCGTTCCCAATGGGAAAGCCAGAGAATTAGATAGTTCATGAAGTGGGTAATCAACACATGGGTATAATTAAGTGCTACCTTTATTTCCTTAACTGCAAAAACAACAGTGATTGCTATGTCCACTGTAAGTTTCCTTTATTAGGCTTTGGGGTACATTCCTATAAATTGTCGGTAAACCTCAAAGAAAAATAGTTGATTTAAACACTTCACCAGCAGATGAATAGCACACAACTAATTGATAACCACAGAGTTAAATGACAAGTTTAGAAGTAGAAATTTAATATCATTTTACTGAAAGATTTTTGACTATTCATTCCTATACTTAAAAATAATTTTAAAAATCTTTTAAAATTAATTCATTGAGTAAATTCAAGCAGAATCATGAATCTGAATGCACACTTTGGCCTTCAACTCTTAATTCTTCATCATTCTGCTCTCAGTTTACAGTTCCATGCATCTGTTAATGCTGTCAGGGCTCATTCTTCAATGAGCAATTGTCATCCTATTGGCATGTCAATTTTCAAAGACACCACTGGAAGTTTTTTTAAGTGACACAACATGGATAAATTAAAGGGGTTTTCAACAATTTCCGAGTAAAATTTTGACCAGTTATCGCACACAACAAAACAATTTGCAGTTTCCTCATTGAAGACCAAACCAAATTTGAGAGTCCAGGTAACTAACTTGTATAGGTATCAAAAAAACTGGTTTCATGGGGAGAGTGGAGAGGTGTCAGATTGACAGCTCCATCACCAAATCCCATGGGATACGGGACAAGGATTTTCCCAGAGAAAAGGGGTCACCAAGAGAAGAAGGAAAGGACGCAGGTCATCAAACATAACAGAAGTCAAAAAAAAATAACAGAAGTCTACATCTGCTTTACTACGAATATTAACTTATGAATATCTTTTGGAGCAATTTAATATTATTACACACCTATTTTTTGTGATTAGAGAATATTCTATTATGTGAATATGTCATACTTCGTTTAGCCAGGCCCTTGTGATTGGACATATTTTTCCATTTCTGTGCTCCTAGCACTTATAATGAATAGCAGGACCTTAATAAATATTTGTTGAAATTTTTAAATTATGAATTTTAAGATTCCATGAAGAAATTAGCATGCAGAAAATTTCCCAGAGTACTCATTTTTTTCTATTTTCTCCAATAGACAGTAAGAACCCGGCTGTTATAGTCCAGATAAATAAAATACCTTAATTATTCAAAGCCTAAGGAACAAAAAAATCAAAAATATATCCAAACTGTAATAAGGTACAGAAAATTGGCTCATTTATCCTGATTACCTGAGGTTGTTCAACAGACTGTTTTTCACGAAGGAGTTCAAAGATATTAATGCCTGAAGATATTAATAAATTAGCTCTCTTGCTCCTAACATCCAAAGAAAAAGACTAATCTTCTGCCATTACCCAATACAAATATAGAAGGACATAGTCAGCAAAGTCTAGAGGACCAGCATTAATAATAACAGTTTGACTTTGGGAATATTATAAAACTAACAAGGACAAAAATTCTATTATACAGGAAGTCAAATTCTTAAACAGTTAAAGATTTACACTAGTAGATGAAAAAAAGGCAAATAAGCCACTTTGCTCTGAATTTTAGCCTTGGTTTTTTGGCGGGGTGGCCGGCCCCAATGCAATTTGTGCTATAGATTCCCTGTTTTTATCCAAATAATAAAATAACTCTTATTGCTAACTTTCAGATTAATCGAAACCTGAGTTATAGTAAAATAAAGTCAAAAACAGACATAAATTATTGCAGAACTTGAGAAGCTGTTAGCCAGTTACTAACTTCTCTGACAGTCTCAGCAACATTTGTCATAAAATGTTACACTTGTTCTAAAATTTTGTTGAATGTAGTGCAAAAACTAGCTGAATAATATTTGACTGTCAAAAACATTAAGTAAAAAAACTATATGATTGATTTTAAAAGGAAAGCAATGGGTAGCAATACAGGAAAGAATGAAAAGTATGGAGCCTTCTTTCTTTTTTGTAACTGAACATTAGAATAGTATGCTTAGCCAGACTATTTATTGATACATCTACTGAGAACTTGCCAATTATCACTTGAAAAGCAAGGATAAAATACCATGCTTTATCACTCCTTATAATTCCTTGCAATGAAATGATCACTACCTCTGAACCACAATTTACCCACTAAATACTCATTTTCCTTACCTTGTGACCTTGTCTTCCAGGTTCACCAATTTCTCCTTTAGCCCCTTTATGACCCTAACAAATGCATAAAGAAATAGATAAATAAATAGATAGATAGATAGATAGATAAATAAATAAATATTGTGTTCGCTTTGGCACAGAAAGTGATCAGAGGCTCATCAAGTGATCCTGCTTCCCCAAATCTGTGTCAATATGGTGTTAAGGAAAAGGTTGTGTGACTACTTTAAATGACCTTAATAATACCGTATGTATTACATGACTGCTACATATGGTAAATATCAGTTTTAGTTAATGGAAAAACCATGCTCTAGAATAACAAAAGCTCCATTACCTGATTCAGCAATGTGACTCATTGACTATAGGTCCCTCGGTCCCTCCACCCCAAACCCCTCCTCTCACAGTTGGATTAAGAGCATTAGGTCTTTCCCCGGGAACTTACTTTCTGAGGTGACAACCCTGACCTGACTCAGCTGTGTTCCCTGCTCCCTGGAGGCTGCTCAGAAACCCTTCTTCCTCCTCTATAGCCATCACCTCCCTGGAGGTGAGAATGGCTGGTATAAGAAATAGATTTCCCTGGAGGCACAAATTTCTGCCCCTTCTTGTACACAGTTTTCAGTGCAAAGGGAAATCTCTAAAGTGCTGTCAAGGAGGGCTGCACAGCATGAGAAAAGATCCTTATCTCTTCTTGTTAGAACATCTGTTCTGAGCATAGATGTGCTTCAGGCAGTTACATGAGGTAAATAGGAAATGAACATTTCAACATTAAGTCTATCAGAGCCTGCACTCTCAGAGCCATTCTTCTAAGAGTACAAGTTGTTGTGAATAATAAGACACCAAGACAGGCAGTTGTGGGAATCCACCAAAACTAAATTTAGAGAAAACCATATTTGGGAAACCAGTGCCTCGGGGCATTTCAGACCGTAGCAGAACTCCATTGGTCTGACATTTTTCAAAATCACTTCAGACTCATTGACCAGAGAGAGAAAGCCATTTAACCCCAGTATTTGTTGGGGGGGGGGGTTAAATTTTTATAGACAATTTGAAGTAATTATTATGTCAGAGTGAGAGAAAAATGCTTTTGGAACATCCCTTTTCTTGCCTATTTTGCAAAGTTTTTCTATTTTTTTTAACTAAAGTAGTTTCAAATACATGATGGGCACAATTACCCCCACCCTACTCAGAAGGCAAAGTTCTGAGCCTTAATTTGGTGTTCTAAAGTCTCTCATCCAATGCATTTTACCAATATTTCTTCCCTGAACAACAAAAGCACTGTATAATCAAGCGTCTGTGCCTCAGTAGGAAGACCTGCCGGGGCACCAGATGAATTTCTAGGACTGGGTAAGGACCACAGACTAGGCCACAGGGCAAGCAAACACACGCTGGCCTGAGCCATCAGGTGGGATCTCTGCACCAGGGAGGCCAGTGCTTAAAGGAAAGGCTCTATTTTCCTCCAGATAAAACTCTTGAAAATAAATACTGAAATTATTCTCTTACCCTCATGCCAGGTATGCCTGGATATCCTGAACGACCTGGTGGACAGGCATTGGGACACTGCCAGAGAGACAGAAAGTGCATAAATTAGAGCCTCCACTTTGGGACAAAATGGCTTTTTTTTTTTATCCAGGAATTCCAGCTACAGAACCTCAGTGCAGTTATATTCGTTAAATAACTCAGAATGACCCTTTCCTTTTTATTATTTCATTTTTAATCAGAAACGTACAGAGACTATAACAAACCCTTTCCCCATGTGTCCACCATCCAGATTTAATAAATGTTACTATTTTGCCATACTTATTTCAGGCTTAATTTATTAAAAATAAAATAAAATGTTTCCAGATAACCCATTACACCATGACTTGATCATTTCCCCTCCCCCCTTCTACTGGACGAGCTCTCTCCTGAGGTTCACATCCCTCATCAAATCAGCCAAAACTGTATTTAGCGCAGTTTACCAACATCTTTGCATATTACTCTATAAGTAAAAGAAGTATCAAAGGGAGTTATTTGACTTCTATCTTCTAAAAGTGAGGTACGCTAGTGAAAAAAAAAATGCCTTCATCATAAAGTAAAAAGATTATGGAAAAACAAAGATATTTTTTAAATGAAAAGCAGTTACAGTCTTGAGTGCATACAAGCCCCCAGTCCACTAGTGCTATGAAGTGCTCTGACATGTGAGTAGAGTAAAACACAGAAATACAGCACATTTCAGTGAGATGATTTTAAAGAGAATTCATCCGAAGAGTACACGGTCTTTGACTTAAAACTGTATTTTGTTCAAAGGAAAGTATCTTACCAATGGATCTCCATCATGAAAGCCAATTGTTCCCTAAGGTAAGAAATATTAGAGTTAAGAATATACTTAAATATTTAATCCAAACTTACTAATAATAGAAAGTTCATTAGGCAAAAATACACTAAATACATTTGTTCTATAATATATGAGGAACAAAGAGCACATAATGTGCTAATATTCTAAAAACCTGGCTCATGGGTATATTTATTTTGGAGAACCCTACATTTCGGCAGATTATTTCTTTCAGGGGATTGAAGGGAGATGAAATGAGAGACAAAATAGAAAATATGGGGAACTTGGAATCATAAATTAAAACTATGGATTAGCTCCTACTTAAACTTCGATTTTTTTAATTGCTTAATGTATAAATCCTTTGTAAAAACTATTTTTTTTAGTGTTCCTTTCAAATGTCCAAGTTTTGGGAATTTGAGAATCACAAACATCAAAGGACTTCAAATATAATGAGTAAGCCATTCTCTGTGAAAACCACCTTTGTTTAAAAGATTTTATTTATTTATTTTTTAGAGAGAGGGGAGGGGAACGGAGAGAGAAAGAGAGGGAGACAAACACTGATGTGTGAGAGAAGCATCAATTTGCTGCCTCTCATACACCCTTAACCGGGGACCTGGTCCACCCTGACTGGGCATCGAACCCGCACCTTTGGTTCGCAGGCAGGCACTCAACCCACCGAGCCACACTAGCCAAGGCTGAAAACCACTTTTTAAATTATTGTGATTTCTCTATTTCTCTGGCCTAAAAAGAACCATGTTCTGAATGGATGAAAAAAGTTGATAGCTATTTTAGAATTTTAGGACAATGACTCAATTAACAGGTACTCCCATTTTTGGTCCTTAGGTCTTTAATCCCAACTGTCAGAGGCAGAAAAATTCAGGCTGCAAATAACTTACACTGGGTCCTGGAGGTCCAGGGGGGCCAGGTGGTCCTCTTTTCCCAGGGTCACCCTAAGTTATTTGAAAATTGTGACACAGTGGTTATATACATATCAAAACACAGTGCGTAAAACTGGTGAGGCATGAGAGAATGATATTACCAGAAACCCCTATGGAGCTCAGCCATGCATAGACCTGTCACCAAAATCAATGGGTGGCCCATAATCCAATCAGCTCCATAAAACCAGAAGAATAAAGGAGTTCCAGTCTTGCCAAGGTAATAAAACCAGGCAGAGGAACACTTGGTGGGGAAAGCAAAGCCAATTCTCTATAGAAGGATAACTTTCTCTACCCTGAAAACTAACTGGGAAAACTACATATTTTTCTAGCTGCTTTGCAGAGGACTGAACAGACAATGCTGCTAGGGCCATCCATCTAATGGCAGCAGAAGAAGGCTTGCTCCCAGCCTGAAGCTGTGAAGTGGAAGGTTAATCTCTGCGGTGCCAGACTCTTCCTGGTGTAGGTCCACAAGCTATCACTCGCTCCATCACTGCACCCTCTTGCAATTGGAACAGAAGATCAAAGATGGATGAATTTAAATAAGCCATACAGTGAAAATGGATTTCAGTTTGTCTTAACATGCAGAATTTACCCCTGGCATGTTTTCCTTCTTAATGTTTCCTTCTTAAAGCCAAAAGCATCTTAGATTTAATTTAACTTTATAATCATTTCATATTTATTCAATTGTTCAATAAGCAAATATGTCAAACAGTATGCAAAAAGGTACACAATATGTGGCTCCTACTCTCAATGAGTTTACAATAATCTATCCTTCACACATCAGTATTTTAAATTTTTTAAATATTTATTGAATATTAAAAATCAAGCACTTATTACCAGCAATTTATTCTATGAAGTTCAGCTCTTTGTTGCCTAAAGCTAAGTTCTGTCAATTTAATTATAATATAATGGCACTAACATAAATGCACATGGTAATGATTTTAGCCTATTCACTTTTCATTTCATGGGAAGGGTCTAATACAAAAACACTAGACTGCAATCCTGGATGGATCTGTAAAATAGAAGTGACACTTCCTGACTTGACCACTAATTCTGGAAGTCAGGAAGAAAATTTTAGCTGAAAACTTCGGGAAAAAATTAAAATCATTACATGAAAACAGAGCAGCATTATTATCTTTGGTCTCCATCAATACTGTAAACTGCAATGAAATTCATCTGCCATTTTTCAGATATGCAGGGAATAACATACAGTTAGGGTAGGTAATTTGCCTTCCCTAGTAACATTGTCTTTTAAGTCAGCAAATGTCTATCAAAAGTCGATGTAGTACTCACAATTGGTCCAACACGGCCAAGCTCTCCAGGGAGACCTGCTCCCCCAGGAGGACCCTGAAGGAAACAAATTAAAAGGACATGGTGATTCATGAATGTTTTTACAATCTATCATGAATGATATCCAATACAGTAAACAACTGACAGAATTATGTATCTGTACTAGTTTTGGTTTCCAATGAAATGGTAACCCATTTGACCAAATTTTAATTACTTAAAATAGAACATAAATTTCTTAAGTTAATAAAACACTTGGTTTAGCTTAATAGGGGTATTGTCATAGTAGCCACCTTAGATCAAGTAGGTGGACACTATAAACAGCACTAGGTAGAACGTTAGTTGGAGAGTAAGGTTGAGATCCAAGAGACAGGCCATGTTTATAGACTACGCAAAAATAAACCAAGAGATGATACTCACAGGGGGTCCAGGAATGCCACGGCCCTAAAAGATTAAAATAAAAATTACTATGGTATATGATTTATATTTAGTATAAATACAGACACAGACCTAACTCAGTTCAAAAATAAACTATAAACTCTTATCACTAGATAAATATGTGATGTTCATTCTAAAGAAAGCAATGGGTAAAGAAAAGCAAACATGGCTCTGCTTCTATAAGAACCAGAAGCTTGTGGCAGCTCCTCAAACTTTCCTCTGGTGTCGAAGCTAACCAGTAATACTTTTTTCCAAACATTTTTTTTAAAGGAAAATTAAAGGAAGTCATCCATGCTTGCCCTCAGGAGAACTTACCATCACTCACAAATAGACATCACTATCTGACAGATTAAGGAGTTTTTCATTTGCTGTGTTTTATAAGAAACCTACCTTAAAAACAATACAGTGTAATGTTTTATAATTTATAACATGATGCCTGGATGTTCCCTCAGACAAATTATTCAGCACAGGGAAGCAGGGGATAAAAAGGAATCCAAACACACACTCTTTGACAGGTAGGACTCTATTTCCAGACACTAAATCCAGTAATATTAAAAATAAAATGGTGTCACTCCTGAAATGACCTATGATGGGATCTTAATTTCATATGCTGAATTTGATTTCAAAACTAATACTCCATCTCCCTCTCCTTTACACTTTATATCTCTTTAGCAACACCAAACTGTGTATAATTAAGAATTAAAGCCATATCATCCTCCAAGCTTCAATTCTTAGCACAAGACTTAATATACAACAAACCCTAACTATATGCCTGTTGAACTAATAAACTGATCATCAGCTGCCTTATTTTCTCTCTTTGCTTTCCAGGCTCACTTTTCTCCCCTTGGGGTTTCTCGTTACTCATTTTGCTTCTACACTGGCTGGAAGAGCTTTTAGTCACGGCTGTCTCTGTTGCCAGTCATGTTAGCTCTTCATTCCAGACTTTCTTTTCTAAAAAATCCATAGATGAGGCCTCCGGTGGAATCAATGTACACCTTCTGATACTGATATTATTTCTAATTATTTAGGCAGCTAAAATAAGAAATAATGTCACATGAGCAATATGTTTAATGATAAGGGGGACTTTTTAAAGGCATTCTTTGAAAAATTGCTCCTATTTGAGCATTTTAATATGTGGATCAATTTGGGAAATGTGTTATGCTTGAAAATACCAAAGTAATCAATAAGTTATTTCATATCAGAGACCTTGATGATTGATAAATTTCACTAATGTTTTAAAGGCATCACTATAAGATGTGACCTCTGTGTTGAAAAATATGGGAGAAAGGCCAGCAAGCTATTCACTTCTGAAAATAGGCTCCAATGGAAAAGTTGACACTTGCTGAAATATGGCAAAGAAAACAGTGTAAATAAAAAACAAGAAGGAAATACACAGATTCATGACAAAAACAAAAGAGGAATGAAGAGCCAAATAGAAAGGAAAAGCAGGTCTTATAAATAAGACCTGATCATCTTATTTATAAATAAGAACAACACAAATTTGCCAGATGTGCAGTGTAGGGAAAGATTAACCAGGGAATCAGGCAGATGATAATAGCTGATGGCTGGTGTTTCATTAGAGATAAACCAATTGTGAAGAAAATGTTGTGATGCCACAAGCTAAACTGAATATTTGAATTTGCTATTGTTATGCAAGAAATGTTATCTATCAGTGGGAGTGGAGGGGGAGTCTTCTATTGGGAGATACCAATTGCAAACAAATATATTTTATACTGTACATTCAAATTTCTCTAAAATTTTTCTACTCATGTCAGATAACTCACAAATTCCTTTGTGATGTATATTATGTAGAAAAATGCATTTAAAATTTTCATAATGGTAGAATTTTACCTAAAGATAGATTTTCAATTCTGTCGCTTTACGCTCACTTACTGGAAATCCACGTGATCCCGGCACACCCGGTTCTCCCTAAAAATAAAGAGTTCATTGTATTCAGCCTTTTATAGCATAAATATGTAAATATGCAAACTGCATAAATATTAAAATCATTAAAACACTCCATATGAGTGTTTTTAATTTAATTCACTTTAGCAAAAACACAATTTCCATTGAACAGTGTATTTCAACTGCTTCACAACTCATCTGTTAGTTGATTTGCAATCATTACAATAAAATTATACTTCAGCATTTAATTAATACCAGCAATTAATACCAGATGGCTAACTTACTTTTTGTCCTCTTGGTCCAACAGAGCCAGGGGATCCATCAGGCCCTGTTAATCCCTGACAAAGCAAGATGATATTAGAACTATTACAGCATCCTTAGGCAAACCTTTAAGTGGATAATTTCATTGTACTTATTAATTAGGTACAGGATAATTACCTAGATGTGATGTAAATATTTATAAGGAAATACCTTTCTATGTTCTTACTCAAAGGTAATGTTTAACATGTTATCTGTTAGTTGTTTTCTATTGATAAATTTTATTATATTCCTAACTTCTTGTTAACTGCATTGTTTATCACAGGGTTCAATAATTTAGTATTTTTAAGCCATTCAGAGAAAGGCTTAAATACCACATGATCTCACTGACATGTGGAATTTTATGAACAAAATAAACTGATGAACAAAATAGGACCAGAGGCATGGATACATGGGACAGACTGACAGATCTCGGAGGGGAAGGCAGTGGGGAGGTTGAGAAGAGATTAACAAAAGAACATATACACATATCAGACAACAACGTGTGAGGGGCAGGGGAATGGGGAACATCTGTAATAGTATCAGCAATAAAAATAATAAGTCAGTGTTTTTTGTCACTGGTTTGAAAAAATGCAATATAATAATTACAGCATTCTAAGAGCTAAATCCGATGGAGCAGCAGGTCTTGGCTCCGCAATTTACCCATATTTATGTACTTCCTTTACTTCATTTATAAAGTAAAAATACTACCTGCCTCTATAACTCTTTAATAATGTCTTGAGAGTAAATAAAATGTTTCCTCAATAGCAATTAAAAATAATCAATCTCATTATTGCCTTGTAGCCACCTAACTAAAGCCCTCTGGCCATCTTCTAGCAATGATAATTGCTTATTTAAGAATATCAACTTTTAATGTTGAAACATTTGAGAGCATGCATGTTTCTCCATTATCTTCCTTAGTAAAAATAGCTATAATTAAGTATATATTTTCATGTGTGCCACTCCATATATAGAATTTAAGCCAGTTACTATAAAACTCATTTATAACTATCACATTTAATAGAAAAGTGGTTATTAAAATGTGTCTTTAAAACATTTTCATTTTCTTACCAATATTTATTTTATCATCAGTCTCAATATAAAATAGATATGAAAGCATGATAACAGTATGTGTATATTTAATTTACATATTTGGTAAAGATGTATTTTTATGTTTTTAATTTTTTACTTTTTCACACTTTCAGGTGTTGTCATCTATAATGTAATCTTGAAATTATACCTTGCTGAAGATAAATATGTGTATCTGTAATATGCATACATATGCACATATACACATGCATATTACATAAATATGAAACCTATCTATTATCAAGATTTTGAAAAAGACTCAAATGATATTAATAGAGGGAAGGATTCCTTGAAATTATAAAAACCATACTTAAAAATGGATCCCCAAAATCCATATCTAATGTCATAGTCTGCATAATTATCAATAAAATGCTTTCATTTAATTTATATAGAAAACTAGTTCACTAGCCATGGTTTTTGCATTTCTCTACATCAATTAATTTCCCTCATAACTCCATAGAGTGTATCAAAAGAAGTAGAAAAAAATGAGTTGAAAATGTCAATTACTGCAAATCTGCCAAAGAAAAAAATCATTAAATACACACAAAAGAATTTTTTGACAGACTGTCCCTAATTTTCAATCACTTTAGTCTAATTATAACACTATAATTTGGGAACAAGTCCCAACATCTTGGTTGCTGAACACCTATGGTAGTAGAATATTGGCTGTGTATTTCAGCAAACAAACCACACATCCAGGAACAATCCCTGGAAGCATGTGTGGTGCCTAGACTTTCAAAACTTCAGGACATATTTAATTAATGGAACCAGTAATTCCCGCTTTATGTACATGTCCTCCAGTGCCAATCCCGGTCAATTCCCATACAGCAGCCCACTAACCATCTTCAACCTGTGACTTGCGTAACCGACAAGATTAGAGGACAGTAGCTTCTATAGATGGTAGAATTTCAGCTGCACGATAAAAATGCAGAACCAAAGAAATGGTTGGATAACCTAGAGGCTGCTTCCAGGTCACCTTCTATTATTTTCCACAGGATATAATAAAGATGTCTATCTTTAGGAAGTCCTTTGAATTAAATTGAAAATACAGTCTGGTGTCAGATGGCACAGTGAACTCTGTTATGAAATAGCTATGGAGAAAAGCACAAAACGTCATGAGGAGAAGGGCTTCATGTTCATTCAATCTTAGCACATTGTCCCTGCATTTAATACACACTCAATACATGACTACCAAGTAAAATTAATGTAGGTCAGCCTGTTAGGTGGGGGGATATTACACTTGTTCTTCCACATCATCTTTATTTTTTTATTAGCTGTGAAACCATTCGCAAGTTACTTAATTGTATAGTGCCTCAGTTTTCTAATCTGTAAAATAGGTATAATAATAATATCTACTTCAAATGTCAATTTTAAAGATTAAATGGGATATTTCACACAAAGTGCTTGCAACAGCCCCTGACAGAGCGGAGCCTGAACAAATGTCAGCTACCCTTTATCATCGTTATTATGTTGTCAGCACTGTTCCAGGTGCTGTGAGAGTTCACATGAAGTATCAGGCATGTTTCCTGCCCTCTGAGATCTTCCAACCTTACCCAGAAAGGCTTCTGCAAGTAAACAAACAAATAATCTAGATATTAACCACAAGCACTGTACTTTACGGATCCCTCACACTTCTTCAATGCCGTACTATTTTTACTTACACTTACCTTTCAGAATAATTTGTTAATAACTCACTATGCTAATCATATAACTCCTGCCAGTGATAACAGCTGTATACATTCAGGGTATGTTCTAACCTCTTCCCAGTAAAAAATGGCATGTTATAACTATAATTCCTATATTTAATTCTAGTTCTTCCTTCTGTCTTACATGTGCACTGTAAGAATGAATGAAATACTGTTTTATAGAGCTTGCTGAGCATGTCACAGCAAATAGTGCCTATAAGAATGTCTCTATTGATATGATTGATTATAGTAACACAGTTGTCCTTTGGGTGCAAGGCTATAACCAAGTTCTGACTTCTCTAATTTTACATGTCTATAAGGGAAAAGAACTTAAAGACTTAGCAGGAAAGAAAAGATTATATATATTCCCCCCCATTTACATTTACACACATAATTTTAATTTGCAATTCTTATTTATCAAATAAATGAAAGAGGAAAATATTACCAGTGGCAGCAAGAATTGCAGTTATATGAATGTATGGAGATAAAGTTCTATATAGGATGGTATTGAAGTGGACTGTGCTCTGAACTTTCTCACCGCTGCTTGGCAGGGAACACCGGCCCTCAGTCTCATTTCCGCCGGCACTCCTAGGACTCAGGTCTGGAGACTCAAGGCCTAATTCTACAAGAAGAGCTGCCATGATTCTTCTATCTTTTCCATCAAAAAATCCACTTAGGATAATTGCCTTTAAATCATGTTCCTTTCAGAGTCTTCCAAACGTCATCTGTTAATGTTAACTTTTTGGTAATGTTAACCATTATTATACAGCTTTGTAATGAACCAAAGAGCAGAAGACAGAGAGATTGGAGGTTTAAGTCTTACAACTATGTAGACTCTGCTTCACCTATCAGGAAGATTGTTGAAGCTTTCCTGTATCCCAGGTGTCTGGGGACAAACAAACAGCAAGCTCTGATATAGTTACTGATATTTCCTTATTCTCAACATCTAGCCTTAATTTAGAGTAAAAGATTTGTTTAAAATATAAAATGAGCCACCCTGCCTGGTGTGCCTCAGTGGATTGAGCACTGGCCTGCAAACCAAAGGGTTGCAGGTTCTGTTTCCAGTTGGGACACATGCCTGGGTTGCAGGCCAGGTCCTCAGGAGCGGGTACGTGAGAGGCAACCACACATTAATGTTTCTCTCTCTTTCTCCCTCCCTTTCCTTATCTCTAAAAATAAATAAATAAAACCTTTTTTAAAAAATAAAATATAAAATGAACCAAAGGATGGAGTAAGAAAACTTTTTGGCTAAGAACCTTGTAAGTCCCATGTGGCTCCATGTCAATATTGGGTGAATATGAACATAGACATATTCATAAATAACTATAAAATGTCAATTATAAATTATTTTAATTATTCATTGAATTATCCATATTATTTTTCTTGATTAGTAATTCAGATACTAAAAATTCACTATTATTCTTTTTCTCCCTATTTTCTCTGATTATTCATCTATTTAAGGACTTCATTTGAATTTGAATAAGGCAAAACTATCTGGAAAGTGAGTTAAGTCCAAAAATCAAGAAATCTGGTTTCTTTCACTGTCTTCGCTACTAAATGACTCTGAGTCCTTGAGGAAAGTAAAGTCCTCATAATTATTGTTTCCTTATCTGTGGAGAATAACATTAGCCAAACCTGCTTTCCGGGTTGTTGTAAGGTTAAAGGAAATAATGTTTGTGAGAGTGCTTGAGAAAAAAGTTCTATACAAATGTAAATTAGTATAGTTAATTTTTTGCTTAGTTCTAGGAAATGCCTAAAGTACTGGCACGTACATGAATTCCTTACGTTTTTTTTCTTGTCTTCATTTCTCGTTCTCTCTTCCTTTCTTTCTCAGTCTCAGGAGACTGATTCGATGCCCTAATCAGTTTCTCCCTGAGGACCTTACAGTGTCAAAGTTTTATAAGAGGCCTTACTCTTACATTTCTAACTTTGGAAATCTGGTTTGTTCTGCACTATAGTACTGCAATTACAGATAAAGAAAAAATACCTGTAATTGTTATCTACATTGTACTTCTAAAGATTTTGATGCACTTTCATTTGTTTATCCAAAATTCTATTTAAGTGGGGAAATTATACAGCAATACAGTATTGTTTTCATGGCCTTATGGTAAAAGGTAAAGAATTTGTTGCACACACTACATAAGACCATAAAAAACTAAGGCACAGACAAGTCTGGCACTCTGAAAATATTTCAACACAATAAATAGCAAGAAAAGACATTTGGTGCTTCAAACAGCACAAAAATTAATAGTAATAATAATAATAATTCAATTATAAAAATTTCTTTTCACACACACAAAAAAGTGAGATTCAAATTTCAAAGGAATGCAGAAATAAATTCAACCTATTTTGGGCTACTAGCTTCTTTAGCAGCCTTGTATTTACCAGACATTTTATTATGTGACTGTTTCAAGTCATTCAGAGTGTTTTTAAGAGGAACTTGATAGCCACGTTATATAATTTCAGTTTGCATCATACAAATATTAATCTGATACTCAGTTTGTATTATCCAAATATGAGTCCTTATGGGCCTCATGCACTCGCTTTGTATACATAGAATATTGTGAAACACACAAAGTCTATCTCCTAAAGCATAAAAACCGTAGACAAATATCCTCATTATGATAATCTTGATACAGAACGCACATCTTAATAACTGTTGAGCTCTAGCTACTTTCCTCTTTTCAAATGGAAGCCTCTGTGTCAAACAGTAGTAAAAAATTCTTGGAAATTGCAATCATAGGTTTCCAGATGCTTTCTTTGCGTTAGAAAAATCTTTAGTTTTGGGAGATGACAGAAGATGGTAACTTGAAGGATAACTTGGATGCACCACTGTCTGCTCTCTGAGAACAGATGCTGTATCTTACTTCGCTTTGTGTCTCAACCACAAAATCAAGGACTGGTCTGTACTGGGAACTCAGTGGGTTATTGGCTGAGTGCCTGGAGACAGGAGAAGCTGACAGTACTGAAGTCATTTTATTCTGAAGAAATATTATTTAGTGTTAGGTTTACCACACAACTCAGTCTAAGCTTTCTGCCAATGTGGGAAGAGGAGGTATGGAGGTGGGTAAGCTGGGGAAAGGCAACTGGTTCCTAACCTTCAAGCAGCTCTAGCCATCTTATTTTTGTCAGTGATGCCAAAAGCACCATGGAAAGGGAGAAAACTAGTTTTGAATTTCTTATTCCATGTGTTATCTACATTCCCTGCCCCGGCCCCACCCGCAGACATCCCCACTCACTTCAGGCCCTCCCTCGAGCACACCTTTCTTTCTTCTCTGCCTCTTTCCCTGCCTGAGGTTCTTTTTCTGAATTAATCTAGAGGATGACAGTAAAAGGACAAGAATAGAGACAACTTGGCTGTGAAGCCCCAGAGACCAGTAGGAGCCCATCTCCCCCAGCACCCTCTGTGCCCCAAAGTGGGGCTGAGTCCACAGCGTGAGCAGAGAGTAGACTGTTTGAGGCAGGAACCCGGTACCCCTTGTCCTCTTGTGAAAGGAGGAAATGCCAGCGCTGAGTGCAGTCCCCAGAGAGCCTTGAGGTATGAGGTGTCTCCACTCTCGCTGGCCCCTTTGCAGAAAACTGCTGCCTCCATGCCAACCAGGTAAATTCAGGGCTCCAACCAGGCAAACTCAGAGCCACAGCCCTGTTTCAGCTGTGTCTACAACCCCCCAGCACCCCTCCAGGACATCTCCTCGTCTCTCCTTTCCTCCCTCCTTCCTCCTCCTGCCCTTAAACGCGCGCGCGCGCACACACACACACACACACACACACACGCACGCACGCACGCACACACGCCTACTCACATCAGCGCCAGGTGTGCCGGGCTTGCCGGGAGCTCCAGGCTTTCCCGGTTCTCCAGGAGGACCCTGAGTAGGAGGAGGGAGAGGTAGGGAGAGAAAAAGGTGCAAATTGAGACTCTTGGACACACATGGCTGCAAACCACGTCTAAAGAAAGTGCAATGTGAACGTGCTCATCAACTTACCGGGGGGCCCGGGGGACCCTTTGGACCTCTGTCACCCTAGAGGAGGAGGAGAGAAGACAAGAGCAGTTGGTTGAGGCGCTGGGGAGCCCGCTGGGAGAATCCCATGCGTGATCACCACACACGCGGGGACGGGGACTGAGTAAATGAGAGAGATTCAGGACCCACCGATGGGGACAACAAAACAGTCTACCTCCTCCCTCCGAAAATCCCTGGTCTTCTAAGATCCAACCCCCAACTGTCGCCCATGTCCAATCCCACCTTTGGATGGGGGGCAACTTGCCCTCACCCAAAAAAAAGGAGGAAGAAGAACTCTGAGCCACTGAAGAAAGGACAGCAAAGGGCAAGAACTGAAGAACAGTGCAGTTGGAGATGGAAACTTACATCGATGCCGTCGATGCCGGGAACTCCAGGGGGGCCCGGAGGCCCAGGAGGACCCTGCTCGCCTGGGGGACCTCTCTGACAAAAACAGCACACACGGGTTAGTGACGCGCATTAGGCAGCAAGAAAAAACGGGGCGCGATGTCTTGAGGCCACCACCTCTGCCCCGCAAAGACGCCTCCCTAGGGAAGCCGGGCTTTTTGAAATGGAATATAATAAAAGCGTATCAAACTTCCAAGACAGCCTGTTGCTTCTGCTCTGCCACAGCCTGAATGAGGCAAAACAGTGGGGTTACAGCAGGATCTAGGCCCCCGATGTCCAAAAAGGGGTCCTGAAGAAGCAGGGGCCTGATGCCTTTTATTTTTTTTAAAGGGATTCAATCATGAAAATGGTGGTCATTGGACACCTCGAGTGAATCAGTAATTGCGAGTCAGTATTTTGGCTAAAATGGAACAGCGAAGAATGGAAGTGCTCCATATCAGATCGATTACAGTATCGTTTTGTAAATCTCTCAATGTCCAGTAGAAATCTGAGGTGCACACTCGAGGAAAAGATTGGGGAGGAGTGGGGCAGAAGAGCCTTGAAACCCAACGAGCTTCTGGCCTCATTTCAGATTTACCTGCAGTGACACTCTCTGGCATGAGGTCTTTGCACCTTGCTTCAAAACTACATCAAATTTCACATTGACCCTAAGGAGTGACCCATTTTATCGCTTGTAAACAGCTAAACGTTGACGGTGCTGTAGGGACTGGTGGCCTCTGAAATAGTGTGAGCATGCTGCTTAGGGAATGCGGGGGGGGAGGTCCCCCTTTTAAATTTAAAAAAAAGAAAAAAGCTTCTTTCATCAAGGAAAACTTTGTTTTTCTAAACTCCTCTGACCAGACAGGTTACAATGGGGTCTTTGTAAGTGAAACCTCAAACCTCCGCTGGGCTCGCCCGCCCCCGCCGTATCCTCTCCGGCGCGGGAGGGAGGCGACGCCGGAGCCTTTGGGAAGTTGCTGAAATTCTGAAGGGAGCCAAGGCTGCCTAGCACCAAGCCTCGAGCCGCGGGCACCACTAGCAGGACGCACGGTTTAGTGCTGCCACCGCAGGCTGGAGGAGCGGGAGAGGGGGCTTTAGGGCCGAGATCCTGAAAGCCCGCCTTCCCGGGCCTGCTTTTGATTGTGACCAGGAGAGGGGGAAGGGAGGTAAGATGAAACCAAGCCAAAATTAAACCGTGGTCTGCAGACGCCGATGGTCTTCAGCGTCTGAGCCTGCAGCGCTAGGTCCCAAGTGGGGGGAGGTGTCCTTTCCCGGACCGATGGGTCACCTGGGGTCCCCGCCTCCCAAGGTACTCGCCGCAGGTGCTGCGGCTGGAGGTAGCGAGCCGCTGTAGAGCTCTGGGGATGCTCCGAGCCTTCCCCACCGCTCCCGCGACGGCTGCACCCCACATGTCCCTCTGTGCGCTGGAAAAATGTAAACACTTACCGTCCTCAGCTTACCTGGTCTGGAATCTAGCTGAGCTAATGAGGAAAAAGGGAGGGAGGAAGTGAAAAGGCGCCCCCACCCCCGCCCCAAACTCTCGCACAACTTACTTGAGCCGCGCACAAGCAGAGTCCTGACAGCAGCAGTCGCAGCCCTAGGAAGCCCTGGGTCCGCGCCGTCCAGGCCATGCACCCCGCCCTCTGCTAATCCCCGAGACCGACTCTACCTCCGGCCGCCGGGCTAGGCTTCCCGACCCGCCACGCGCATCAAGCGGCACTTCTTCCCCACAAAAAGTGCCCCCGGGATTAGTGGTTGCAAAGGTGCCCCGGTGGGGAAGGCGTCTGTTCCTCCTGTTTTTGAATGGCCCTGGAGAGGGTCCTGGGGATTGGAGGAAAGCTAGCGGGCCGGTAGGACGGATAAAATGACAACAGTCCCCCTTAACCCTTTCGCGGCTCCGCACGGGCTCGGCCAGAGAGCACGGCTCTGCCTCCGCCCGCCCACCCCAGGCTGCCTCCGGCTCTCCCCGGAGCCTCCTTTAGATGACCTGTGCACCACTGCCGGCGGCGAGCAGACCGTCACCCTTCTTGGAAAGATAGTTTGGAAGAGAGTAAGCCACTAAAGGTAGACTACACCAGACACCCAGGGGAGTTGGGGGGAAGGTTCTACTTTCCAGGCTGCGGGTGGGACCTGTGCTTCCTTAATATGTACCTGATCGATACAGAAAAGCTCAGATCTTTTGGAGAAATAGAGTGGAGGAGCAGAATGGAGAGGAGTCAGCTGGGAGGACTTCGCCTTTGGAGCTGGCCAAAGGGACTCACCGTTATCCTTGGTGGCAGCTCATGGCAAGTTTCTCTGCTGGGTCGAAGTGGGTCACAATGGATGAGCATCCATTGAAGTTCAAACTGTACAAAGACAGCAGACCATCAGTTCAGGTTCTTTTGGAGGACAGAAACAGGTCAGTTAAGAAAGAAAAGTTGGTGAGTGTGGTCCAATTGCTAAGTGACTAGAAACCAACTTAAACTGGTTAATTTCATTGGACCAGGACTTTCATTGTTCTTTGAATATAAATTTCCATTGGAAATCGGTGGGAAGCCCTTCCCAAGTATGATCATTATATGCAGGTGTCTTTTGCTCTGCATTACTCCAGGTGAGCCTAGGCGGGAAACAGACCACTGGCACTGATTTTCTATTTCCCGCCTCATCACAACACCAAGAGGGAGGTTCTATTAAAATGAGGCCAGAGAAAACAAGAAATGGTCCTAGTGACAAGTCAGTAAGTGTCAGAGTCTGATGTGGGACCCAGGCCTACCTCACTCCAGAGAGTATACGTGCTAAGAGTTCACACTGGAGAAGGTTAAGGACAGGCAGCCAAAGAGGTGGCAACATCCAGGAATGATACAGAGGAAAGAAAATCTGGTCCTGGAAGAAATACGCATGCTAGAGAAGACATCCTCCATGGAGTGGACAAAGTTTAAAATGGAAGGAAGCGATGGTGGGAATGAGAGGGAAATCAAGGACTGGGCCGGGGGCCGGGGGCGGGTATACAAAATGATAGGAAATATTTAAATTTGGTACAATCTTATTCATTTGTTGCAGAGATATAAAAACGTTAAAGACTTGAAATCCAAATATGTCCTAATAACTTCTTACATTTTAGCAGGTGCTAAGGGAGAAAGAAGGAACAAAAAAAGAAACAGGACAAAGGAAGAGTAGCCAAATCTGAATCTGAAAGCCTCAGGAGACCTGGTTAATAAGAAAGAAAAAAAGATGTATCCCACAGGAAGCCTGCCACTGTGTTTTGATGGCCCCTCTAAAATTGAGGGAGTTCCTTGCTAGACATTTCAAGTTAGATCTTTATTTCTTGGTCAGTTGATTCTTCAGGCATTATGTAAGTGTCTCGTTAAGTACCTAGGCCCCATATCTAAACATTATCTCTTCCTTTTTTCATCTAATAGTGAATTGCTCTCCATCCCACCAGTCAAACAGGCTTTAGATCTGCTGGATCTAGAGTTAAGTTATGGAAACATGCAGACTTGAAGTTACTTGATGGAAGATCAAAATTGGAGACAATGAAGAATGAAGTCCTTCCCTTCTATCCACAGTAAAGGGAAAGTTAAACAAAACAGTTTTCCTTTTTATAAAAGGTGAAAATAAGGCATTAAACTTTCACATTCCTGCATTAGTTCCTCTTCTTATATGATTCTAACTGTCCTAGAGTTCTCCTCTTTCTCCATTATTCTTGTTTTTCTCAACTTTACCATGTCTTTTCTCCAAAAAAATGTGGACATCTGCAAGAATAAGTTAAGTAGGATGTAAAGAAAATGAGCAGCTAAATCAAGATGGAAATTCATCTTTGAATTGTATGAAAATGATCTGTGTCTTCCTGGTGTGAATTATTTAACAATATCACAGTGACATCCCTCAAAAGAATTGCTTTCCAAACCACACAATGCCTTGCAGGTAAGAAAATTACTTTACTCGAACACTTTTTATTGGAGTACTTTTGCTTGCTTGGGAGAGATTTTATTCTGGTTTATTCTAAATTGCAGTAGAAATTTTAAAAACAAGATTAAAAGTAAGAATGGAACAACCTTTTCCTCAATGAATATTAAATACCTGGCAGTCCCTCAAACAACTCTGAAGCAGATCACACATGGAAAAGTGGCGTAGTGAGGTTCAATCATTGCCACAGGTCACACAGCTAGTAATAGGCAGAGAGCTAACATTCCAAATGTGCTTGACTCTAAAATAAGAGCCTTCTCTACTCCCCTACTCAGCCCCCACCCCAAATAATACAGAATGAATTATAATTTTGTAAGGAGGTAACCAAGACATATGGTGGTTGAATATTTGTATTAAAGGCAAATGGAGAATTATCTAGAAATTTAAAATCATGTAAGCTAGTCTCCAGTACCGGCTAGAAAACTTCAGAACTAGACTGAGAAACTTCCATAAGAATTTAAACCTCTCCCTATTTGCATACTTGTTACAGAAATATATCCAGAAGCAAAATTTCTAGTGTTTCTCCGAAAACTGACAGCTATTTCTATATGCAGTTACATATTAATGTGTATAATAAAATATTGTGTAGGAAATAGAATTATAATTTTTTCCATAATCGGATAAAAATATTACCAGAATAAGAAAAGATATCTTCCCACTCCCTAACTCTCGAAATAAGAGAGACCACATATAATTTTATTCATTGAGCCCTTTGTGAATTGGTAAGTCAAACCAGGAATGGATCCTGTGTGTGTCATATTTTAATTCTCAAAAAATAATTTATATCTTAATCACCTTGAGAAACTTTAATTATTTTATTGCAGATGTAACGTGATTCATTAAGCTGTTTTCTCAAAAATGTAATTCTCTCTGGGTAAATTGGCACACCTGTTTAAATGTGTGAGATGCAATTGTGGGGATATGCAGAATAATGGGGCAATGAAATGTAATTCGTCTGCGAATGAAGGCTGGGTTGTTCGGAGTCCGACATAGATCAGAAGTTTCTGAACACATCTGTGCATCCACATAAACACCACCTACATACTAATAATCATCTACACAACAACCATTTTTTAGCATGCAATGTGAATTCCAATTTGCATGTTAATTATTTTGCAGGAAGATTGGCAGCACTCCTTGGTAAAAGTCACTTCCATTATACATCTAAAATGCTAATTTTCACACGTTCCTCATTTTCAAACCTGGAATCATTTATCTTTTGAATATACACTGGCAAAATATATCTGACAAATATTTTAATTTAGTCCTTCAGGCAGCATCTTTTAAGCCCCGACATAAGCCAGGCACAAAGGAAACATTCCAGGGAAACCAGAGATACTCTCCCCACAAGGAGTTTACAGTTTGTAAGACTGAGAAAAATCCAAGCAGATAAATAAAAAGGTTTTTGAAAAAAAAGAAATCTGTTCAACAGAACATAAAATGCCCTGGTACAGTCCATTCTTCTGAATATAAAATACTTCACCATTGTCTCAGGGAAAACTGATTTGTCTGAGTGTAAAGTGCTTTCCATATGCCCTAGTTGGCATTATCCAATTACTTTCTTTAGGAAACTAAAGTGTAATTCCAGCCCCCGACCTAAAATAGTGTCCAGCTGAAAACTCATTAAAACAAGTAATTTTGGCCCTAACTCTACTCTTTTCATAAGACTAATGATTTCTATTTATTTTGCTAGGTTCTTGAGAAAAGTTAGTAAGGTATTTAAGCCCTTCATAAGAACTAAATAAAAACTAACAGTAGAACACAATCTTTTCTTCCTGAGAGAAAATTCTATTGACAAACTGTGGAACTTCTCTTAATATTAATGAAAATGACAAAAGGCTTGATTTTTTGCAAAATGAGTTAGGATTAAATTTTATAACTATAAAATATGTAAAAACGAGCTTTTCAAAACTAATTTTTTTAAACTGGAGAGATGTTTCGTCAAGCTTCTTTCTACTCAGTGACGATGAATATTTAAAGAAATACTTGAATTCTTAGCTCTCATCCTTCTATTATTGAGTTTATGACAAAATGTTTGTTTCTACCATCATAAGGGACCTCCTCAAAGTGAAGCTTCCTGGTTGCTGAGCAAGAGGCTCTCAGGTGCCTCAAAATGAGAAATTTCCCCAGCTCTCCAGCTCTATGTAGACTAGGCCCTGCAGTTCCAGACACAGTGCTAAGAATTGTAGTTAAATATGAGCAGGTGACAATCGTCTGAATCATATCAAAGGGAAAGGCAGAATGGTGGAAGGAAAGAGAACAGTAGACTTGAAAGTAGTAGACATGGTATGTAGTAATTTACTCATTTTTCATGCAACATATCTTTATATAACACTTTCATGTGCTTTTTGATATCAATACTTTGGAAGACGCAAAAATGTTTAGTATATAGGACAGTAAGCCAAAAAATGCTTTTGAAAATAAATAGTATTGCAGTTGACATGTGACATGGCTAAGGTTACCAACAAGGGGATCATATAACATGTCCTAGGTAGGTAGGACCCTAGAGCAAGTGAGGTTTTCATAAGCAGAGACAAGGAGGATAACAGAGTTTGAAGAGAGGAGGTGACAATAACAGGCCACAAGGGTGGAAAATGGTGTAGAGAAGAGACCAGATTCACTGGTGCAAAGAGTAGACAGATTTTTTTTCCCTTCAATTCTAATCTAAGAAATTTTAATATTACTGTGTAGCTAATTATTAGATGGCTATCAATATTTGTCAGCAACAGAGAGAGATGTTGGGAAAAGTAGCCTAATATAAAAGGGCCTTTCAAGGAGATTCATGTGGTAATCAGTGCCTGATCCCTTCAGGCAGAAGTCTGCTGTAGCAGAGCCTCGGGAAGTATTATCCTCCGAGCTATGGTGAGGCATCCTGATTTATCTGCCCACTTAAAAATAAAAGAACACTCCTCTCCTGTCACATCCCCTTTCAGCTGCCATCCTTTTTTCTGCTTCCCTTCCATTCGCTCTTGAACTTAGCTTTTCCTCCCAATACTCCAATGGGTCTTTTCTCAAGTTCACCCTCACAGGTTTCTAAATCCAGTGGTCAACTCTCAGTTCTCATCTTATTTGATACATCTACAGCAGATGAGTTGGTTGACCATTCCATCATCCTTGAAATACTATTTTTCCTTGACGTTCAGGGTACCACAATCTCCTCTTTCTCTCCTACATCACAGGTTGCTTTTCTTAGTCTCTTTGGCTGAATTTTCCTCATTTCAGCAACCTCTAAATATTGATTGTTTCAGGGTTCAGTTCTAGGATTTCTCTATCGCATTCATCTCTTAGTAATTTCATCTTGTTTCATAGCTTTAAATACCATGTGTGTGTTGACAACTCCCAGAGTTCTATTCCCAGCTGGACCTCGCTCTTAAAATCCAGAACATATCAAACTGCCGGC